AAAGTAGTTGTATAAAGCATCAGTTTGTTCTAAGGACTACAAGTCGTTCCGTTGCATTGTGGGTAATGTAGGCGACAGGTTTAGAATAGGAACACAATCATGAATTTTATACTTTTTTTTATAAAACGGTATGTGAACAGTGTTATAGGAGGGACTATGTTAAGTGGAGTCCTATAAGAACAACGAAAGGGATTTTTTTAAGAGGACACATTGTTGTTGTATATATATTTAGATGTTAGTATCCATTGTGCAGATTTGGGTTTCAGATAAATGTGATGCATGTTATTTTGCTTTTTCGGGGAAAAGAGATTAAATGCAACTAGTTCAGGTATATCAGTGATGTACACACCACTCATTTATACATGTTTTAAATGTATTAAACTCTCCAATTCTGTGTCAGCATTTACTAAATTTTAGTTTTAAAATTCCAGCCTTTCATCTAATTTTGTTTTGCAGATTTGTACATTTTGCTCCCTCTTTTTATTGTATTAAACATTTATTTCCCATGGTTTGAGAGTCGTGTCATTAACAGCATCGTAGTGTTCATTATGACTCGTTCCTGTCCTTATTAATCCTGTTGAGTTTCACAGGTTCAACCGTTCTAAGCTTTCGGTACCACTTTACAATAAGACTACCCTTATAAAGGATTCACAAAGGGTTTATAATAATAATATATTTTATTTATAAGCGCACTTTTCATTTGCGTAAGCAAAACTCAAAGTGCTAAATTATAATTAGGTTATGAATTAGGTTGTAAACACTTTATTAATCATTAAGGACCATTTATAAACCAGTTCTAACATAGACATCAACACAGGCTCACTATTTAATAATAATAATAATATTATTTGGCAAGATGGCTAAGCCATATATTGGCTACTTAGCGAGAATCAACTCAGTGAACAACAGATACCAAGGATGCTGGCTGATGAAGAACACGAAGTAAGCTAGGTAGCCAATATAAGGCGGATGTGGAAGAATGATGTGAAATCTAATCAAGTGTTAAATCAGACTTTAGTTCCACCTGGAGTAAATTCACAAGCTACCCTGCAGTATACAAAGTCATTCAAACTAGCTGCACCTTTACCAGCTTTGAGAACACTTTCATGATCAATCATTATAAAACATATCATATATATTATTCTGAAATGGAGCCTCAGTGACCTTTGAGATATCACCCTCTTTCAATCCCAAGAAAACATTCCTCCTCAAAGACACCTCTGACAGACTTTCACTTGTGGACTAGAGTTATCCTGTGGATGAACTCAAGAAACACTATCTCCACCTACAAGGCCTTCCCCTTCCCTCTTTTCCAAAGTGCAGCCTCTCCTACTAATAGGTGCAGATAACTTTCACCTCATTACCCCAACCAAAAGAGTCTCTTTGGGTCCACAGGGGGCACCAATAGCCCTCCAGCTAGGTTCAAATACAAGATCTCACTCCTCACCCATCAGTGCATCCACGGGAACGCTCCTTCATACCTCAAGGAACTACTCTCCTCACAAACCTCCACACGCAACCTCCATTCTACAACCAACCATCTGCTTCCCCCCCCAGGACCAAACTCCGCACCATGGGGGGGGGGCTTTCTGTTCACCTGTGGAATTCCCTCCCAGACAAACTGAGGACTCCACAGACCACTGACTCCTTTAAGAAGGGCCTAAAAACCTTTCTTTTTTTTAAAGCCTTTTATTAAACTTGTGTTTCTTTAAAAAAAAAAGAAGTATATTATGCCCCTTGTAGCACTTTGAGATTACTTTTAGCAATGAAAGGTGCTTTACAAATAAAATGCATTATTATTATTCTTATCATTAGGTTGGACACTCCAAGGACCCCCCTATTCAGGAGCCATCGGATGCCCCCCAGAGTCTCTTCACCCCAACTGAACCCCCGATGCCGAACTCAGTCGTCAGGTGGAGAAACTATGGCAGATAGGTGTCCTCCCCTTTCAGGAAGAGCAAGGCATCACCAGATCCAAGAGCCCCTCCAGTCCAGTGGACCCCCTTCCAGCAGCTCATTGACCGGGTCCTGCGTCCCACTCTCAGTATGCAGATATCCGGATGACTACATCGTTCAAAGTGAGATGTTGGGGCAGGTAAAGGCGGGGCTCCAAGCTAACCTGAAGAAGAGTGAGTTGGGGTATCTGGGGTCGATGGAGTCTCCTCTTTGGGGCCGGGATGGGTGGGAGGTGGTGGTAGGTAGCAGCAGGTGTATGTGCAACTCATCTTTCTTCTTAAGATAAGCTTTAAGTACAATTGATTGTTTTTGTTCATTTGATATTGAGGAGAGCTAACAGGAAGTCTCTCATCAGCTGCAGCCTTCTTCTTTATTTTCCTAAATGCCTCCACGCTCCTCTTCACGTCTCAAACTCGCCCCGTGATGAATAAACTGAGAACACATAAAACCTGAGCTTGCAGATTTGTCTGGAACACCAGAAAAACGTGTTGAAACCTCAATAAATAAACTTCACACGGTACGACCTCTCACCTTTCTGTGTGTCTTCACTTCCTGTCACCTGAGAGGAGAAGGAGAGAGAGAGAGAATAATGATGATGATGATAAAACTAAGAGAAACAGCTAAAATGATGAAGAGAGAGAAAGAAGAGTGTTGTTTTCCTCTGAGGTCACGCTCCATTAAAGAGTTTACTATCTTGATGAATGGAGGATATGGTTTCAGTACTCACAGGTCTTCTGGATCTTGGCTCTGATCGTCTCATCATCATTGATCCTGTAGAGATGAACACAATCCAACAGTTTTAGATCCAGTTTAAAATAAGTGTTAGTTCTTTGAGTCAGCTTCAGAGTCCTGATCTCATGCTTTACATCCCATCATATCTTCTCTGCAAACACTACGACTGCCTGCCACAGCTCTCAGCTGCATGACAGGAAGTAACCACTCATTGGTCTAGCACAGGGGGGTCCAAACTTTTTTCACCGAGGGCCACATACAGAAAAATATCTAAAGGTCTGGGCCGCTCTCTAGAGGTTTACTGTCTCATGAGTTCAGTTATAAGTCAGGAAACTCAATCAAATGAAGGTAAAGGATGCTTGTTACTTGAAGATGCTTTAAGAAACAAAACAGCTCTCAGCTCTCCAGAGGGTTTACTTTATTCTGTCAGCAGCTCATTCCTTTAAGCAGGAGCTTCAGATTGATTATAATTACAGGAAATATGAAGGGTTTATTTCACGCTTGTTATAACAATAAGTTATTGGGCTTTTTTCTTATCAAGTTAGATTTGTTAGGAAATGTTTTCAGCTTTAATTGACTGAATTTATTTTAAAGGTGGGCTCATTAACACATGAATACTACTGTGTAATATATGTGTACATATATATTTAAGAAGTACAATACAAGACAAGCAGAAGTTTCATTTGTGGGCCATGTTTCATTATACTTTCAGAATTTGCTGAGGGCCGCATTTGGCCCCCGGGCCGCAGTTTGGACACCCCTGGGCTAGAAACTAAAAACATCCCATAAGAACAGACTACCTTTCCCACTCTTCTGTAAAACCCCATATGTCTGTTAGAGAGTTGATTACTAAAGTGTGGCTTTGCATTTCCAGCTGGCCTTCTATAGTTGATGGAAGAATGAAAGAGCCTGCAGTCAGTGGGTAACATCACTGATCTGTTTCCCCAGTGAGAGAAACACCTCCCTGTGGTTCATACAATACTGCTGAACCAGCAGAGACCCCTTACTGACCTGAGAGTCTCCAGTCTGCAGTCTGGACTCTCCAGAAGATCTCTCAGCTCCACTCCTGAATCCTTCAGAGGGTTGTAACTCAGGTCCAGATCTCTCAGATGGATGTTGGACTTCAGAGCTGAGATCAGAGCAGAACAGCTGATCTCTGATAACCAGCAGTGACTCAGTCTGAATAAAGAAAACATGATGTAACTTTAGAAAACAATGTTCCTGTTTGAAATAACTCCAGGTTTAATAATCTGTTCAGAGTTAAACAGGGTTTTAAAGGTCTCCTATCATGCTATCTTTAGGCATATATTATGGGTCTCAGATATATACAAATATATAAAAACATGTCTATGATGTGTTTTGCTCAAAATACCAAACAGATCATGCATTTTAGAAATCCCTCATATCCCTCTGTTCCAGCTGTTAGAGAAGAGCAGGTTCGGGTCCTTAGCTTGAAAAAAAGAAACAAAGGAGGTGGAGCTAATGCCTGATCAGAATTCTACCAGCAGAAACTCAGCTAAATGCTGCCGTGATGAAACTCCATATCATGTTCCAAACCACATCAAGGATTCTCTCTGAAACAGTATGGAGCTCAAACTCTTCCTCTCTCTCAGGTTTACCACAAGGTGAGTTCCTTCTTATTTCCTGCTTCTTCACACATACTCTCTCCAGTACAGGTTAGCTCTGAGTGTTAGCATGCTAATGTAAACACAGACCATATTACTTCCAGAACACGTCTCATTGTTTCTGACAGCAACGTTTCTGATTGGCCCGTTGGTGTAAAGCCCGCCCACATTTTAGTAATGCCGTCATGACGCAGCAAATCTGGATCAGCTCCGTTGTTCCCCCGTTTTTAGAGATGTGGGTACGGAGGAAAAGAGAGAGGGGTTTGTTTCCTGACACTTTGTGAGTCTCCTGACACCGGGGACACATGGTGATGTAGAGAAGACATCAGGAAGTGACTTTTGCATGATAGGAGACCTTTAATCTCAGAGATGATGTAGAAACAATCCATTGATAATCTAGAACTTTAACTTTGATCAGATGTTTAACAACTCCTTCATCTCCCTCACAGCTCATCAGTACTGACAGCATCTCCACTGACTCATGGAGCACAGAGTGAGTCTGAGGAAGCTCAAACTCTCTCCCTCACACATTCACCTTCTCTTTGATATTCTGATCAATATTCAGTCTTTATCAAAAAAGGAAAAATTAATTAATTAATTTTTTTCAAATTCAGAAAATGATAAATACAAACAGATGAAGTTCAGTCAGTGAACTGACCTGAGAGCCTCCAGTCTGCAGTTTGGACTCTTTAGTCCAGAGCTCAGACGCTTCACTCCTGAACCCTTCAGATGGTTGCCACTCAGGTCCAGATCTCTCAGATGGGAGGGCTCAGACTTCAGAGCTGACGCCACGACTTCACAGTGAGTCTCTGAGAGTCCACAGCTAAGCAAGTCTATAATAACACATATATTACAACATGTGTTAAAAAGAGGAAACATAATGACCTCAAGCATTTGATGAAACAAATATTTGACATATGTTCTGATTGAGATTTGCTGTTAGTCCATTTTATATATAATAATATATGATAATAGAGTGTAATGTGTTGTCAGTGTGATCTGATCACATATCTGTGCTCCTGCTGTCACTGACTGTTACCAAAGAAACAGAAATTAAATAAATCACTTGATAATATTAGAGATGTACATATTTAAATGTTAATTAATATTTGGATGTGAATGATGGATGTTTTGTCTTCTCTGAGCATCTGGAAATGTATTGTGCACACAAACACAGTTAACAAACCAATAAAGTTTCAATATTTTAAACTGAATACCATCAGATGTTCTCACTATATCAGTATTAAGACATAACTCTGGTATTGGTGGGATATGATATAGATCTTATTTTAAACTCTAACACATTGTGATAAAAACGTGTGTGTGTTTAATGATAAAGAAACTACTAGAAAGTAATAATAACTGATAACTGTAAGTCCTGCTGTGTGGTGTGATCACATGCTGAGAAAGCTCTCAAGTCCTTCATGTGTTTGACATGTCGCCTCCATCACTCAATATGAAGAGAGAAACGCTTCAGTTTAACTATTATTATAAATAAATAGAAGAACAGTGTTGGTTTATTTTGCTCTCAGTATTTAAACAGCAGAAATGTTATAGTGTTTATTTGAATAATTAAACTTCTGATCCACATTAGTTTATAAAGTTAATCACATCTGGACTTACTGTGCCTTCCTGCAGTTCCTCACAGCTGGAATCAGTCTCAGTTTTCCCTCCCGTGATGTTTTGTACTTCTTCAGGTCCAACTCATCCAGAACCTCCTCTGACATCTGCAGCATGTAGGCCAGAGCAGAGCAGTGGATCACAGAGAGTTCCTTCTCTGATCTGTTCTCTGACTTCAGGAACTCTGTGATCTCCTGATGAACTGAGTGGTCCTTCATCTCTGTCAGACAGTGGAAGATGTTGATGCTCCTGTCAGGAGAGGAATCATCACTTCTCATCTCCTTCAGGTTGTTGATGGCTCTCTGGATGATTTCTGGACTGTTGTCTGTGCGACCCAGCTGGCCTCTGATGGCTCTCTGGATGGTTTCTGGACTGTTGTCTGTGCGACCCAGCAGGCCTCCTAAGAGTCTCTGGATGAATGTCGGTCTGTTGTCTGTGCGACCCAGCTGGCCTCTGATGGCTCTCTGGATGATTTCTGTACGGTTGTCTGTGCGACCCAGCAGGCCTCCTAACAGTCTCTGGTTGGACTCCAGAGAGAGGCCGTGGAGAAAGCGGACAAACAGGTCCAGGTGGCCATTTTCACTTCTGAGGGATTTCGCCATGGCTCCCTTTAGGAAGACATCCAGGGATGGGTAATCCTGATATCTGTTTTTACTGTTCTCATAGTCCCAGTCTCCCTGCAGGAAGTCCTGCAGTACCTCTGTGTCTCTGTTGGTGTAACAGTGGAACATGTAGACTGCAGCCAGAAACTCCTGAATGCTCAGATGAACAAAGCAGTAGACTGTTTCCTCGAAGATCACACTCTGTCTTTTGAAGATCTCTGTACAAACTCCTGAGTGCACCAAGGCCTCGGTGACACCAAGACCACAGCGCTGCAGGTCTTCTTGATAGAACATGATATTTCTTTTCTCCAGATGTTCAAACGCCAGCCTCCCCAGCTTCAGAAGAAGCTCCCTGTCAGCCTCCGTCAGCTGCTGTGGACTCGTCTCATGTCCCTCTTCATACTTCTGCTTCTTCCTCTTGGTCTGGACCAGCAGGAAGTGTGAGTACATGTCAGTGAGGGTCTGGGGCAGCTCTCCTCTCTGGTCTGTAGTCAACATGTGGTCCAGAACTGCAGCAGTGATCCAGCAGAAGACTGGGATCAGACACATGATGTGGAGGCTCCTGGAGCTCTTGATGTGAGAGATGATTCTGCTGGACAGGTCTTCATCACTCGATCTCCTCCTGAAGTACTCCTCCTTCTGGGCGTCAGTGAAGCCTCGTACTTCTGTTACCCTGTCCACACACTCAGGAGGGATCTGATTGGCCGCTGCAGGTCTGGAAGTTATCCAGACGAGAGCCGAGGGAAGCAGCTTCCCCCTGATGAGGTTTGTCAGCAGCACGTTGACTGAGGACTTCTGTGAGACATCAGACACAACCTCATTGTTTCTGAAGTCCAGAGAAGGTCTGCTTTCATCCAGGCCGTCAAAGATGAGCAGCACTTTGCAGACAGCCAGCTGCTCTGCTGTGACCTTCTGTAAGGTTGGATGGAAAACATGGAGCAGCCTGAGAAGACTGTACTGCTCACCTTTGATCAGGTTCAGCTCCCTGAAGGAGAGCGGGATCACCAGACTGACATCTTGGTTTTCCAAACCCTCGGCCCAGTCCAGAGTGAACTTCTGCACTGAGAAGGTTTTTCCAACTCCAGCGACTCCGTTGGTCAGGACCGCTCTGATGAGAGTCTGTTGGTCAGGTGAGGCTTTAAAGATGTCCTGGCACTTGATTGGAGTGTCATGGAGGGTCTCTTTCTTGGAAGCTGTCTCCAGCTGCCTCACCTCATGTTGGGTATTAACCTCTTCACTCTGGCCTTGTGTGATGTAGAGCTCAGTGAAGATCCTGTTGAGGAGGGTTTCACTTTGATCAGTTCCTTCAGTCACACGTTCACATCTCCTCCTCAGACTGAGCCTATGTTCATCTAAAACCTCCTGCAGACCACTATCTGCTGGAAGAGAAGGAAACAGGAGAGAATCAGAAAATGCTTTTGAGAATATAACAATAAAACTAATAAAAACAGACTGAGTTTAAATGTTTTATAAACATTGTAATGTCTTTGTTCTTCAACAGAATACCTAATAAAAAAAACAAATGAACCAGGAAGAGGAATAAGACGCTGCATGAGTTCGGCCTCTTACCTCGTACAGAGCTGGTCTGACTGGCTGTCTGCAGGCCAGCTCTGGTTCTGGATCTTTCTCCACACTGGGGACAGGAGGGGTCTCCTGATGGAGGTCTCTGCTCCCAGTATGAGGTGATGCACTGTCTGCAGAACCAGTGTCCACAGCTGGTAGAGACTGGATCCTTCAGGACGTCCTGACACAGAGCACAGCTGGACAGCTGCTCCTCCACAGGAACACCACTCTTCCTCTTCCCTCTGTGGAGAGGAACACATCCTTTAAAGCACTTTACTTCAGAGGGGCTGATTCTCACCAAAGGTACAACAAGGGGGCACATTCTAGTTTGATATTTAAAAAAAGGTCTATATAATATATACCCTTGTGATCAGGTAGATAGCTTACAATTCACATGATCATAAAACCAGAGAGCATCCTGTCTGGATTCATGACCCAGAGGAGCACATGTTCCCTGTATCTACACACACAGCTGTATTAACCTGGTACACTATAAACCCAACTTGCATAGAATCTGCTGTGAATTCATATAAATAAACATATGGAAAGGATGCCTAAGTAACAACAGAATGATACTGATTTGTAAAAAGCCTGAGTTAATGCTTTATCAGGTCTGTCTCCAACACAACGAGCATAACATTTTTTAAATGTTTTTTTCTGAAGAGATGGGTTTGATGAAAGCTAGGCTAACATTAGCTGCTCCATCAACACTCAGAGTAACTTCATGAAGTCATAAGTACAGCAGTCACTATATTGTTAGCACCACAGACAGTCTCTGGTTTATACAGGAACATGAATAACCCTGATTTAATATGAGCTGCTGTAGAGCTCTGTTCTCCTCTCTGATTCCCCTCAGACCGTCAGAGACCCCAGGAGCACAATCTCAACACTGACAGGTTTTTGTAACAGAGCGTCACAAACTTTACACTCAAGTTGAAATGTGTCACGCTGCACGAATACGCAGGTGACATGAATTTAACATCTTCACTTCCTTCGTGTTGCCAGGCACGGATCTGGGTCTTTGCATTGACTCTACATGTGATTTCACAAAACACTGTTTTATCTGCTAATGCTAAACACAACCAGCTCACCAGGTTATCACTATTATTAATACACATCTTAAAAAGACATATCATAGATATGCCCAAGTAGTTAAATAATGTTTTGGACAATATATATAGTTTTTAAATCAGTATTTATCAACATTGTTGCTATTTAAAACCATTTTATACACAGATACAATGATAATATAATCGCATATTGAAATATCCTTAGATAATGTTAGCTTACTCTGCTGCGTTTTCCCTTTACAAACTGCTCACATGATATCATTAAAGAACAGTTTAATATATTAGATTACATAAAAACTGGATCCTCTTCAGGTCAGTTTACAGGAGAGACTCTTACTTTGTGTCTGAGGGTCCAGGTTCATTACTGAAGTATGGAAGCCACTGTTTAGACCGGTCACTCTTCAGAGACCACATGGAGACCGTAGACTCTGCTCTCTGTCTGTGGAAACAACACATGTTTTAAACATCATTAGTTTATTTAAAGAGCAGCTTTTGATCTATGACTGTTCACCTTATTAAAGATGTTTAGAGTTGTTGAGTCGTGATTGTGGGTTTCTGTTGTTCAAATTCATTCGAGTGTGAAACGTTTTACATATTTGCATTTTATTTGCTTAATTGAACACAAAGTCCAACATGTAGAGTGTGAGGATGATCCCACCCCCTCCAGGACCCCCTGTCCTCACTGTGCAGCTCCTTCAGTGACAGGCTGCTGCACCCCACCTGTCACACGGAGTGATACCGCAGGTCCTTCCTTCCTGCAGCGGTCAGACTATACAACCAACACAGCCCCTAGTAGACCCCCCCTCCCCTACACACACCACAACACAGACTATATCACCCCTTGCTGCTAAATACCCATCAACTATGTGCAATATGTGCAATATATATATATGCCGTTAATAACTGTGTCATTTATACCTGGCTGCTAAATCCTAAGAACCATTACAAGGTGTGTTTTTTTTGCATTTTGTATCTTGTAAATTGTGTAACTTGCTGCAGTTAAATACCATCATACTATGTGCAATATGTGCTATATGTGCAATATATACATTATATACATATGCCATTAATAACTGTGTAATATATACCTGGCTGCTAAATCCTAAGAACTGTTACAGGATTTGTATTTTGGAAAGTATTTTCTTTTACTTTTATTTTTTATATTATATTTTTTATTATATCGTAACTTAGTACTTTTTTTTCTTAACATAGGTAACATTAAGCTGTCTGTGGCTCTTTCCTGCTGGAACGATGCAAATTTCCCCTCCGTGGGACTAATAAAGGTATTCTGATTCTGATTCTGACTAGTAGATTATTTACTATCTCTGATGATGACAAGAAGCAAGAGATCAATGAAACTTTGTTAATGTACTCTACTGGGTTTCATTAAACAGTTTAGATTATCAGATACCAACAAACTGGATCCTCTTCAGGTCAGTTTACAGTAGAAACTCTTACTTTGTGTCTGAGGGTCCAGGTTCATTACTGAAGGCTGGAGGAAGTCTGCCCATAGACCGGTCACTCTTCAGAGACAGACCGCTGGAGACTGAAGATTTGTCCTCTTCCTCATCTTTTAAATCACTCATCTTCTCCAGTCTGAGAGATAAAACACACACACACACACACACACACACACACACACACACACACACACACAACACACACACACACACACACACACACACACACACACACACACACACACACACACCACACACACACACACACACACACAAAACCATCTTAATAATAAACTTGGTTAAAATACATGAAATCAGTCAGACTTCAGACAGGCCGTTCTCCATTTTGTCTGCGCTGGGCTGACGAATCAGAAAACAGGAAATAATAAAAGTGTACAACACTTGCAGAAGTCTCATTGGACTCTAGGACGCAGATTGTTAACCAAGAAGTTATGTTCTGACATCCAGTTTGACAGAGTAAATAATAAATGTGTTAAAAAGCAGATCCTGGTGTTAACACTCACCCTGTTGTTCTCCTCGTGTCGAGCTGTAAAATGGCGTCTGGCAGTTTGACTTCAAACTTTCATTTTCAACTTCCCTCCCTGTCTGCAGCTCCTCCTCTTGATTCATAACCAGCCTTACCAGCTGAAGCAGTTCACACACAGGGACTTTGTTCAGTGAGATAGAAAAAGACATGCAGCTAAAAACAAGCTCAACAAAGTTATCAAAAGACGACACAACATCCACACATCAGCGTCCATAGGATATAATTCAATCTGCTTTATATAACAAACAATGAACAGCGACTTAAATAAAAACACAAGGCTACATTTAACTAATTTACAAGATGTGCCAAAATCAGGGCTGAAATAGAGATTTCACTTCTAGCAAGTGTTTTAAATAGGAGGAAAAGTGTTTTAAATAGGGGCAGAGAAACAGGAGAGAATCAGGCTGCAGCACCTCACTGAAAAGTGTTTTAAATAGGAGGAAAGTGTGCAGGGATGCTCAAATTCGTGTTCATGCAGCCCCTAAATAATGGTAATACTGATTAAAAATCATTTCTAGGGCAAAAAGTATTTTAAAAGTGAGAAAAACTATTTTAAATGGCTTAAAAAGCACCAAGTGATTTAAGTGCAGTTCCAAGTTTCCCCACAGGAGGGCTCCAGGGAGCGCATCACCCAACATGAGCACAGTGCATTAACAGCAGAAAATACGATAAATAAAGGCAAATCAATTGATTTAAAGTGCAGGGAGGCTCCGCACCAGACACAGGTACATTCCTACATCCCCACAATAGTGACACTGATGGTTTAAAGTCGTTTCTGTGGGGAAAAGAGTGCTAAAAGTCTGCTAAAAGTCTGCTAAAAGTCTGATAACAGTGTGGTAAAAGTCTGATTGTTTCAAAGACCCATAGTAATGATACAATAAACCATTTACATCTAAAAGTATTGATTCAAATTCATTTTTATGGGGAAAAGTGCAGATGAGGTATTTTTGGTATTTTGGGCAAAACACTTCACCCAACCCTGTATATATATATATATGCCGTTAAAAACTGCAATATATACCTGGCTGCTAAATTCTCAGAACTGTTACGGCCCGTCCACACAGCAGCGTTAAAAAATCTTGGACATTCACACAGGGTTTACAGGGTGTGTATTTTGTAAATTGTATAACTTTTTATTTTATTATATTTTTTTATCATATAACTTTTTTTTTACTTTAAATACTTTTTTTTGCATGTAACATAAGCCGCTTTCACATCAAGTACTTTGCCGTACTTAGTGCCCCGGCACTTAGTACCCCAGGGAACTAAGTACCAATCGCGTTCACACCGGAATAAGTTCCCTCAGGGAAGATTACGCAAATGAGCCGCTGACGTCACTTCGTCTTCTTCTGCTTTGGCTGGCAGGCCGCAAACAACTTCACGGCGTATACTGCCGCCCGAAGTCCCCGACTTTTTTGGTACTTTTTTGGTACCACCTCTCTAGCAGGCACTAAAAATGGGGGTAAAAGTTCCCGGCACTAAGTACTCGTTTTGGTGTGAACGCGACATAAGGGGTACTAACGGGAAAAGTACGGGGTAAAATTACTTCGGTGTGAACGCGCCTATATGTACCATTAAGTTGTCAGTGGCTATTTTCTGCTGTAACAACGTACATGTCCCCTCTGTGGGACTAATAAAGGTTTTCTGATTCTGATCTGATTCTGAACTACGATGCTCAACAGCTCGCTTAACGGAACTTTGACGCTGGTATCAGTTTGGTTTCCCACCAATCACGGGATTATTGTGTATAGAAAGGGTTGAGTTATATTTCTCGCGCTACCTTACATCCATGAAGGCAACATGACCAGTGGCGACTGGTCATTAGGGGCAGGTGGGGCACAGCCCCACCTAGTGTCAGCAGAAAGTATTACAAATAATGATTACAAAAATGCAAAAAAAAAAATTAAAAAATATATAAAATATATTTTAAGATCATGTTTAATCATCTGATTCGTCTGTACATTGCTGTTTTAGTCTGTGTTCTTCTAATTAGTGTGTCTACAGTCACAGTGTGTGCCTATTGAGCTGTTTAGAGCCATGTGGGACAAAACCTGATTATGCCCCTTCCTCTCGCTGTGAAGTGGACGGTGACTGTAAAAACTACACTGCGCATGCTCAGAGTATTTTGTAATGTAATGTGTGTGGCAAAAAAATAATGACCAGAGGGGCACGGAGCTACCATCCCCACCATACGTCATCTCAAATCATTCAGAGCTGATTGGCTGTAAGTACGTGTGCCGCGAAAAGTGTGCTGTGTGAAGAGGAGACGAGAGAGCTGCAGTGGCGCGTCCTAAAACCAGGAAGTAAGCACAAAAAAGCAATGAGATTTCTCCAGAGGATTTTAGAAAATAGCTCGAAATAAGATCTGTGGGAAACGTACCTGTTAGATAAATGCACGTTTTGATTAGCCGGATAACATCCACATGTCTACCCTACTTTTATAATTTTTTTATCATAAATCTATGGATTAGATTTATGATAGACTTTTGAAACTACAAGAACATAAGGAGGACTTTTACAAAAAAGTAATAGAAATGTTTGTCCAGAAGGATAGGCAAATGGACTTCATCTTCAAGTCAAGGTAAGACCGCCATTTTATTGAAAATGGGATCTTACTAAGAGAGAACAATTCAATATTTAAATGATAAAATGACATTTTTTGGGTATCCTTTTGTTGAACTGTCTGTTTAAAATTAATCGAAGCATCAGACAAAAAAAGCTTTTGAAAATAATATTATATTTTGGTTTAGGTCAAAATATAATATTTGTAAACCTGAAGAGTCAGTGCCAGTGCCTCACCAGCCATGAACCTCACTGCACGTCACTGCAGAAGCTTATATATAGACATCTAAGTTTTTTGTGCCCCACCACTTTTGTACATATAAAAACGCCACTGTATATATATATATATATGCCGTTAAAAACTGCAATATATACCTGGCTGCTAAATCCTCAGAACTGTTACAGGATGTGTATTTTGTAAATTGTATAACTTTTTATTTTATTATATTCTTTTATCATATAACTTTTTACTTTACTTTAAATACTTTTTGTTGCATGTAACATATGTAACATTAAGCTGTCAGTGGCTCTTTTCTGCTGTAACAACGTACTTGTCCCCTCTGTGGGACTAATAAAGGTTTTCTGATTCTGATCTGATTCTGAACTACGATGCTCAACAGCTCGCTTAACGGAACTTTGACGCTGGTATCAGTTTTCCACCAATCACGGGAGTATTGTGTATAGAAAGTGTTGAGTTATATTTCTCGCGCTGCCTTACATCCATGAAGGCAACATGACAGAGGGAGGGCTGTCACTCAGGATGCTGAACTACTCTTTGGTAAGCCCCGCCCCCCCCCCAAGCAACATCAGGGCCAAAAGTTTGAAAAGCGCAGATGAGGTATTTTGGGTATTTTGGGCAAAACACTTCACCCAACCCTGTATATATATACAAATATGCAAATTTTTAAAAGCCTAACAAATATGGATTGAAGCAGAATACAAATAAAAAACATGTCATTTTTGGAAATGCTTATTCATATTTGTCCAATATTTTTTGTTTTACTTTTGGTCTTAACGCCGTAGTTATTGGAAATCACACATTTGGTTCACACCCATCACTGGAAAGCCCCATGAATGATAACACAACCACACAAACACCTGAATAATAGGTCTTTTTTATTAACAGACATCATGAAAATGTCGACAGTAACAAAATTGTTTTAGTCCATTAAAAAAAAAGTGGGTTTGGATTGACAAGACTCCTCCCACAAAATAACTTAATGAGGGGGAGGGTAAAAATCAAGATGGGGGGGAGGGTTGTGCTCCGACACGTAAATGTATCTGATATTTCATCCTTTCCTTGTATTTTACTCATCTTAATGTGTTAGTAAAGACCGGCTTACAGCAGCTCAGTCCCATGTGGCCCTCAGACCCAACCCTGTCGAGGAAAGGGGAATATCCGACACATTTCACACAGTATTAAAATGGGGGCATGCCACTAAGCAGGACCAGAGTTCCTGAATGATCTGAAAAACACTTCAGAGATGAGAGAAAGAATATCTGACTGCACGGTTACGTTTGTCTTTGTTCACTACCACACAAGCCACACACACCTACGTTTCGTGTTTCACTGGCATAATTAAAAAGGGATGGTTTGTGTTTTAAAGTAGGGTTGTATAAAAGTGTATTACCTACAGTAGATGACGATGTTTTCTCTGCTTAACCTTGCCGTCAAACGAGGATCCAAAGCATTTTTTGATGCTCTCGCTAAAGCCAGACGCCATTGATAAAAGCAGTGATTTTATAAATCGCAGAACAAAAAAGGTGTTGCTGTTCTACTTCTTCCTCTATCAGTTAGTTATTTTGTGTAAATCGTGTGACGTCAGTGAATCCAAACTAACTATTTTAAACACCAAAGTCACAAAATACCACCAAAAAAAACGTACTAATTGAGGCAACAGAAAGCGAGAAACTTCTGTGTTCAGCGATGTAAAATAACTGGTTTCTGACAATGGAGTTTGGTGGCTTTTAGAGAGCAGTTACTGTCGGTCATACCTGAACTATGGATATGCATACAACCCACACACAATCTGAACTATCCCTTTGAGTCAGCAGGCTAATTTATTGATCCATTTCATAGGACGACCCCCCCCGAAAAACAGGCTGGTAGGCAACACAATAAGCGAACAGAGAAACAGAAGCAGACACGAAAAAGTGAAGCACCATCAGAAAACATGATAGTAGTGAATTAAGAGAGGGGGGGGGGGGGGGTTATATACAGAGGGAGGGGCTGTCAGCGTGTGCCTTTGTCAACAATACAGGTCACCATGATTACATTTTTGCAAATCCAGCTGCTTAAAGAACATTAAAGGTAAAAGGGGTTTCCCCAGGAGGAGTAGTGTGAGAGCAGGGGCTGCACCCAGACCCCCAGAGTGGATCTGAACACACAGAGCGAGAGGGAGGAGGATAGAAAACGTCAACTTGTCCTGCAGGCATGGCTGAACTCTGCTCCCGCTACCCCTCACGTCCTTTGAGATAGACACAGGTGACAAGGGTGGAGGGACATGGACAGTGTTACGAGACAGGAGCCTTATTGTAGACACTGTAGTGTGTATATATATATATATTATATATGTGTGTACTGTGTATGCAAGGTGTGTGAATGTGTCTCCTCATGTCATGTGTGTGTTACATGTGTCTCCCTTTGTGGCAGCAGTGTGTTTAGGCCTCGCTCTCCCCCGCTGACGAGGTGTTCTGCACCTCCTCCTCCAGGATGGGCACGATCAGGTTGTCCTTGGACATCAGGTTGTACTTCATGACGAAGCGCGTGAACCGGTGACACAGGAACGTCTCGTTCTGTAGGCAGAAAAACAGATCAAAACAAGGTCAATCTGGCGTTCTGATTTTTAACAAAGTCATTTATGGCGCTTTTCCCACTGCAGCACGTAGCACGCTTTAAGCTTTTTGCTTTTCCACTAGGGCTAGTTCCGGCTCAGGGCTACTTTTTCACCTTTTTCTGGCCCTCCAAAATCTAGGTTCTTACCGGGCCAACAACCAGGCTGAATATGCTAAACGAGTGTCGTAACACACGTAAACACTCGACTGGTGATTGGTCAGAGAGTATCGCTGGGAAGGGGGCTACAACTACAACAAAATGAACATATTTGACCGTGATTTAATTGTAATACACGTTTCAAAATGATGCCGAAGTAACAACATACTGATACCGGTTAGTAAAAACCATGAATTAATGCTTTGACAAATCTGCAGACAGACGGCAGGCGAAACACCTTTTAAAATGCATGTTTTCTGAATGGAGATCGGCTAAACTAACGCAGTATATGCTCCGACCGTCCACACTCACAACAACGGCCTACAGACATAAATAAAGCAGCGACTGTATTCACCATGACACAGGCAGTCTGTGGTTTGTACTTGTTTAACTTTTGTCTAGTTTCTGAACAGATATGAGGAGCTGTGAGCTCTGAGTGCTAACAGCTAACGGCTGATGTGTTGGTTTTGTGGTTCACATTGAAGAGGACGTCACGGCAGGTTTACGCAGCGTCGCTCCGCACGCCAAACAGCCGATCGCCCCGCCTACACTGCATTACTATAGTTACTACCCCAGGTACTAAACTGTAATGGAAACGCAGCATAAAGTGAGCCTGGCCTACCAAGGCCTAACCATACCGTACTAAGCCGTGCTAATTGTTTTATTTTTAACATATTATCACTGTAGATGTTTTATCTTGTTCTTTATTAATTTTTATATTATTTTAATATTGTTGTTATGTTTTCTCTAAAGCACTCTGGGCTGCTTTGTGCAGGTGCTATACAAATAAAGTGTATTATTATTATTATTATTTGTACCTAAAAACAATCCAGAATAGACACAGAAACAAAAGCATTCTAGGTGTGATTGGTTGATAAGATATTTCCAAGGAGACCCACCTCATACTTGTCGAATATCTGGCGATGATGGAAGTAGGCATGAGAGAATATCCTATAGATGCGACGACAGACGGAGCCCAGCTTGGCCACCGATGACTCCTTGATGCTCACCCTGCAAACACAAAGAGACCAATCAGACGGGGGTAGATCTATGAAATGATATCTCATGGATGGTGTGTGACTGACAAAGCGATTCAAAGACCAACTCGTAATAAAGGTGTCAGGATACTTTTTTTTTTTAAAGTTCTTGTTGGTGCACTGTATAACATCTAAAACCCAAAATCAGAAGTTGGCAAGGCTTCAATCGACAATACATTTTGAAACTACTCGCAGCATTTGGCCATATGTAGGAAGATGACAAGGTTTGCAGTGATTTATCCTCTCTTAATTTCTCTTATTTTACCACAACTAATTGTCACATTATCGTATAAACCCCCCTGTGCGTCACAATAAACACGTCCAAAAGAATGCCGTCAATCACCCCTCAATATGACAGCCATTTCCGGTGCATGTCCTTTTTCAAAGTTGTCACATTTAGTAATAAACCTAATGAGAATGAATGGATATTTAAAGTGATTTTCAGCTGTGTATTTGTGTTGCTTATGTTGTGTTCACACTTTGTTTTCACTGCCCCTAAGTGACCAAAATAAAAAGCTGTATTTACAGGTTGTAAATGATGATGACTGACCTGCTGGGGAAGTATTTGTTGCTATTGAGAAGACAGGCAGCTCCGTCCAGCGTGTGCCTGGTGTAATCAATGGCAGGGCACTGTGGAGAAAGCACAAAACACACTTAGAAACTTCATTAGGCGCTTTCACACCGGAGTACTTTTCCCTTTTAGTTCCGATAGTTCCTGGGATTTTGCGTTCACACCAAAAAGAGAACTTAGTTCATGAGAACTTTTCCCCCCTTTGTAGTCCCTCACCATGTCAATGGAAACATCCCTTCTGTTATTGTATAAAGTTCATGAACATTGTATAAGATGCACATAAAACTAAATAAAGAATTGTAATAAAAGACACCCAAGTAAACATTGACTAACCCACGGTCTTGACTGACCTCTTTGGGTGTCTTGTGGGCAGCACATAAAAAGATCCACTGCTCTGTGGCTGTCATCTGGGTGCAGGTGTCTGGATGGCACTCGCTCTGAAAAGCAAAGCAAAGATTAAATTAACACACCTTAAAACACTCCTTAAAACACTCCTTAAAACACTCCTTAAAACACTCCTTAAAACAAAGGTTAACCGGTTCTTTATACAGCTCTACCAAATAGTTCCTGATTAAGATCTTTGCTTTGATATGGACACATGAATGGGAAAAAACCTTCCATCAGACATGTTTAAAAATGAATCAAAGGTTGTATATCTTCCGAGTTGGATCACGTACCTGCAGTTTTACAGCTAGTCCGTTGAGCTCCAGACAGAACTGCCTACATGAAGGACAAAACACGAGCACAGTTAGAAGAAAAGACAAACACATGAGCATGAGTGACCCTACTAGGACTGCTGCTTCAATAACTTATTAATTTTCAAGCTTAAATTACTTTATCAACATACCTGAGGTGTTCATACTTCCACACGCCCTCGTCCTGACCCTCTGGAGGCTCAAGGATTTTGTCGATATTAGAGCAGTCTGATCTAATGTTCTGCTGGATGTACTGAAAAACAAAAGCAATCACACAACACATGTTATTATCACATTTTGTATGGTCACAATACACTGGTAATTCTCAATGCCTAATATGTCAACTTTGATTAAAGTGTTGGAAATAGGGAGAGAGTAAACCCAGAGAGCAGGCTCATAATGACAAGTATGGACAGGAGAAATAATTACAGCAAACATTCCTCCATGTACATTTAGGCATGTGAATATTGCGTTAGGCCATACCTTAAATAAAGGTCTTTGAGAAGTTCAATTTCTGAATGTGTTTGGCTGTTGCTGACTGAAATTAACATTAACTGCGTCTACAAACGTGGCCATTACATCACTGACATCTTGATTAGACTAAATGTGGTAAAAATGTTTAGTAATATTGATGCGAATGTGAAGATTTTGTGTATCGTCTATAGCTATACGTTGCTATATTTGTTGCTATTAGTATGTTCAGTTGCTGTGTGTGTTACATGTGTTGCTGTGTATAAATATGTTGGGCACCAGCTGTGAAGCAAATATCCCTCTAGGACAATACATCTAAATGTAATGAGTACTTTGATTTTTCTAATTGGATTTTGATGCAAAATTGTTGTACTTTTAATTCAATAAAAGGATTTAAACTTTTAACAAAAGGTTTTATTTCTACAATTTGGTGCTTCTTCCATCCTACATATGAAATAAACCGGAAATACCGGTGTCACACACACACACACACGTCAACACACCTGTTGGACAGCCAGGGTGCTGTCCATCTCCTCAAATGACTCATCCGGCCAGTTGTAGAAATCCTACACATGGAGGGAGGGTACATTTAGTCCAACGTTATACACTCAAAGTGACAAAGCTAGCATTGTAGCACAGGCTGTTTAAAAAGCATCTTTATTGTAGCATTGAGAATGCTAACTAACTACATAGCTGTCATCTGACGTTAACCAACAATCACAACACATATGACAGACAGACAGACAGACAGACAGACACATAAAACCGACCGACACAGACAGATTAAACAAGACTGCCTTTTGACAGAAAATCAACATAAATTACAAAAGTACTTTAAAATAGAATAAAATAGAAATAAAAAAGATAAATATCACACATTTAAAACAATATATACATATTCTGAGTTTTAAAAAAACGTATATTCAGAGGAGTATGTAAACATTAGAATATATAAACATTGATATAACTAATAACATAAGGGCGTCAAAGTGGCTAAGGTTAGCCAGCTGAAGTTTGGTTATTGGTTATAGGTAGAGCTTTGCTGGGAGAATACATTTAATTGTAAAAGTTGGGAGCGTTTCTACATTACACAGCTACTAAGCAAACTTGACGCTAGCTACTTAGATAACGTCAACTCGGGGTGCGACTACTTTCTGCAAAGCTAACAGCTAACTAGTAAGATTTTTAGCAACAATAACTTAGACAATGTTAATGGTCCCTTGTGTAAACCTGATTCACTAAAATGTGGCTGTGTGATTATTTAAACACCATTGATTATCACAGGGAGCTCCGAAATGTATAGTAAGCCACTGTTAAGTTAACGTAACTCCAGCAAGTAGACGGTGCCGAAATGCTAACCAGCTAGCTGGCTATTTCCAGGTCAGGCCCTACTTCCTATGATTTAGTTATCGTTAAAAACACGTGTGTTAGAACAACTCGACTGAAGTGAGACAGCATTGCAGAGTCGTGGAGGTCTGTTTGCGGGGATGTAAGGGTGTTTATTTGGGGTGTAAACGCACCTTTGCCTTGGTTCCAGGCCGATTCCTCCTGAGAACTGCAGCTCCCTCCGCCATGACCATCTCGACAGAATACCCGGATGTTCGTCAGACGCTGTGTTGTAGCAGCAGCAGTGTGAATCACTCACCGTGTAAAATATTAACACTTTGTTATTTTACCTTTTTATATAATGCACATTTCATGCAAGTGACGGAAAGTAACTCCATCTAATCAAGTCCTTTTAAAAAAAAATAAAAAATGTAAGAGACGTCTTCCTTTTTGTGGAGGAAGTAGCCTATAATTTAAAAATCTTTTTTTATTTGTATTTTAAGTATTTTTAAGTAATTTTGTTATTCTTATAGATTGACTGTCAAAATTCTGCAGAGACAAATAATTGTATTTAATCACAGACTGTGTAAAAACACATTTTTATTTTACCTTTTTAATTATTTTTACATGACAAGTGATAGAAAGTAACAACATCTACTTAAGTAATTATGTTTAACTAAAAATGTAAGAGACTTGTAACTTTTTGTTGAGGGAGTGGCCTATAATTTACTTAAAGACCTGAACTGTTGAAACAACATCCACAATATTCATCTGGCTGCTACTTAAAAATGATTTATCTATTTACCTAATATATCATATTTCAATGACTTGCATATAGACTCTTGTTGCACTATTTCACTATTTCACTTTTTTAAACTATTTTCTTCTTGTATTTACTATTTACTTATAGCACTATATTTTTCTGTTTATCTGTGTTTTGTGTTGCACTGTTGGAGAAGCCTGTGACACAAGATTTTCATCGACATAACTACACTGTAGCTATGTTCGTTTGACAAATAAAGAACCTTGAACCTTGAACCTTGAACCTATTATACTGTTTTTCATCAATATGTTATAGGTCTCAGATATATACAAAACATGTCCTAGCAGTGCTGGATTTCAACAGTTGCTAAATGTGTGTTCTGATTATGGTGTCAAATTTGATGTTAAATACAATGCTAAGAAGAGCGCTGTAATGATCTGCAGAGCAAAAGGGGATAAGAACCTTGGTTTTCCAACATTCTATCTGTCAGGACAGGTGCTGTCTGTTTGCTGTAAAACAAAGTATCTGGGACACATCATTACAGATGAAATGGCTGATGATGATGACATGTATAGACAGTGGCGTGTCTTATATACACAAGCTAACATGTTGGCTAGAAAATTCTCTTGGTGTTCAGATAAGGTTAAGGTGAACCTCTTTAGAGCTTATTGTACTCCTCTTGTACAAGTGTGCCCCCTTGTGGGTCAAGTTTAAGAAGGCGAGCCTCAAGAAGCTCCAGGTTGCTTATAATGATTGTTTGCGTATACTGCTTAGAAAACCAAGGTGGTGCAGTGCAAGTGAAATGTTTTGTAATGCACGAGTCAACACGTTCCATGCTCTCTTGAGAAATCTGATGTACAAATGTATCTGTCGATTGAATGTTTCTCATAACTCTGTCATTATGCTGCTTTCAAATCCGTGTCTCAGTGCTGTACGATACCAGTCACCTCTGTGGAAACATTGGTATAACTGCCTTTTTTTATTTATATTTGAGTGTTGTATGTTTTTTAATAATGGACCAAGAGTCTCTTTAAATAAAGCTGATGATGATGATGATGAAGTGTTTGGCTGAAACACCAAACAGGTCATTGCAGCATCCCATAATCCCCTCTGTTTCAGCCCTGTTTCAAAAGTGCTGATTCTCTGTCTGTTCCGGCCGGGGACTTCGGGTGGCAGTATACGCCGTGAAGTGGTTTGCGGCCTGCCAGTAAACCCAAAGCAGAAGAAGAAGAAGTGACGTGAGCGGCTCATTTGCGTAATCTTCCCTCAGGGAACTTATTCCGGTGTGAACGCGATCTGTACTAAGTGCCCTGGGGTCATAAGTGCCGGCACTAAGTACGGCAAAGTACTTGGTGTGACAGCGCCTATTGGTGCTCTAGGAGGAGATTCAGGTGATAAAACATCGTTATGACATCATAAAGTGGCCAAAATCTGATCAGCTCATTTTCAGACAGGTTTTTAACTTTTTAAATAAATGGATCAGGACAAAAAGAGAGAATCTTTTTTCCTGAAACTTTCAGAATCTCTTTCCACAGAGGGGACACATGTTGATGTAGAAGAGACATGAAAAAGTGGATTTTGCATAATAGGTCCCCTTTAAGTAAAAGTATTAATATCACAGTGTAAAAATACAATTTAAGTATGATCAGGGGAATTACATTTGATAGTAAAAGCAGAAAAAATGAAGTATTTATTACATCATTATATTATATTATTACTCATTATTTTACTGTGGTAGTAAATTGAGATGAAGCTCATTTTTAACTATTATTTTCTATTGATTATTTTCCTTTTTTATTCATCTGCTGATTGTCTTCATAAGAAGATCGATGTATTGTTTGGTTAGTTGTCCAACTAATAGTTGTGCACTTCCAAAAACAGATGACAAAGCTGGATCAATAAAATGTTTTGCATCTTTGTATTAAAAATGGAGAAAATAGTCATTCACCTGAAGCCTATTTGTATGAACATTTAGGCAGTTTAACCCATAAATAAGAGCCTTACAGAAAGTGTTCACCTTCCAGGGATCTAACAAGTTAAACCGGCCAAATATTTTAATCAGCAAATACACTACTAAAGTACATTATAGCCTACACTTTAACTAGCTGCAACAATAAATAGTGCTTAAATGCATCTGTCATCTGTCATTTTACACAACAGGTACTTTTTCTGTTGGAAAACATACCTTTCCATGTTGACATATATTTTATATGTTTATGTATTCATACCCATATACGTTTTCTATACTTAACATCCTGCTGTTATATTGCTGTTTATATTATCAGGGTATATGCAGGAATCCTGAAGTCAGATGTAATACCTTTTTAAGACCTTTAAGACCCTTTCCATACATTTTAAGACCTCATCGCCACTTCGAGTTTTAACCGGTTACATTGGCGACACACTTTAATAATAATAATAATAAATGGAATTTATAAAGCGCCTTTCACGGGACCCAAGGTCGCTGTACATGGTGGACAGACAACCTCACATTTACTATATACAGTATGGATTGTCCTTCCTCCTTATCTTCCAACCATTTGGACGCAGACTTGCATTTCCCCATAACGATGTTGTTTAACAACCGGCGTAAACGGACCTTCGCGCGCTATCAAGCAGCGAGCGCGCGATGTCCTGTTCAGATGACGTCAAATCCAACGGGATGCCATAAATAAACTACACAGAATCACACTACACACCTACGCAATGATTACATTCAGGCACACTGTAGAATACAACCTCTTTGGACAATTTATATACTTATTGAAAACAAGCTACAAAATGTAATACCTTGGAAAATGTCTTTTAATACTTTTTAAGACCCCGCAGACACCCTGATTATGTCCTTATGTTACATGGGTTCTCGCGTTGTATTTTATAACATATTTTGTCTTGATTTCAATATAAACCCTACTTTTGCTGATATACACACTTACATTATCACACTTCTATCTCTTGACATTTGTGTTTCCATATGCGCTTGTGCAGTTTAAATGCCCCTTTCCTTTCTTCTACTTTTTATTGTTCCTTCTCTATTCATGTGTATGAAATTATCTCCTTAGGTCATACACAATCAAAGCTATTAAGAAAGGTTGTAAATTAACCTTGACTTCAAAACATTTAAGAAGGCCACAAGACAACAATCAATAGTTCACCTTTATTATTGTAACAAAATTGGATTAGAATTATTTACATTTGCAATAACACGTTGGAAAAAAAAAAGTAAAGAAAAACAGACATGAAAGAGGCAACTTAATTTCTTCTCTCCAGGTTTTGGGACTTGACATGATCGACTGCGACGAAAAAAAATGATGATTTACTCGACGTATTTCCCAAGGATATCTCCGTCACGGAACAGGAAATAGTCCTGGAGGAAAAACAAGACATTAAAACAAGGAAAGGCACAAGACGAAACACATATTTGTGATTTAGATGAAACTGTATTTTACCTTGTCGTCCAGACTGATTTTAGTTCCTCCGTACTCTGGCAGCAGGACACTCTCTCCCACCGTCACACTGACTGGCAGCAGGTTACCTTTCTGGAAAAGAAAATATCACACAAAGAATTACACAACAGTCTTCAGAGGCAACCAGAGTTTCCGTTAGCCGGTAATTACCGGACTTTGACCGGTAAAATATGCTGAAGACCGGCAAATCTAAATCTCTCCGGTCAAAATCATTTCCCCTTAGCGCAATACCGCATCAGTTACGCCACTTATGTGACAGACAAGAATAGTCAATTCTAATGTCTAACACTTATTGTGGAGAAAGAGATGTCCTGTATGGGTTGATTGTGCGTTGATCTGTTGGTAATGCCTCGGGGTTCCGGTGGGCATATAAACAAATGCATAATGCTGTGCTATACTTTGTGGCTTCACCCGGTTGCATAGCGACGCTTATTGTTTAGGTGTCTTTTAATAAGCAGGTAGTCATATCATTAGCTAGAACTAGCTAGATCTGATCGATATGGACATAAACGCGAGTAAAGTCTAATCTGACGGGAGAGAGAGATCAGCTGCTGCTGACGAGTCGACACGCAGCTCTGCATGATCACCTGCAGAGGTGAGCGGAACAAAATATCACACGTAGCTATTTTAATTACCTCTCAAACTACCTAAACTAGTTATAGATATGTTTAGTTAGTCGGGTCACTCATTACTGGATCCGTGAGCTGCATGATACTGATGGGCTGTCAGGAGAGAGAGAGAGAGAGCGCTCCGTTTATTATTCCCGTGTTATTGTAAGTTACTGTACACTTTTGAATAATGTAGTTAATCTACTATAATTAGTTTGTTTAATATCGAATCACATCAATTTGTTTTAAAGCTCAATAAATAACAAAGAAGACCTTTGACCGACACTTTTCTCATTTTGTCCAGAAGATTTAAACTTTAACGGACATGTTGACCGGCAAAAGAAAAATGCTAACGGAAACTCTGGATGCAACGCTTTACAACTATACAACACGACTAGGGCTTTAAAAAATGTTAAATACAAAGCCGGGGAGAGGGGGAAATATCCCAAGAAAATAAACTGATTTTAGGAGATAAAGGTTGACATTTTCAAGAAAAAAAAAAATGGGATATTCTTTGAGATCTAAGTGTTTGATATAAGTTCCATACTGTCGCTCCTCCTCCATAATGAGTGCATGTGGATTTTCCTATTTAACGTCTGTGGTGTGATGAGGTTGATCTAACCTCGCAAATGAAAGCAATGTGGTTCCTTGACCAAATTTGGGACTTATGAGAGAATAATCATATATATATTTTTTTTACTGTAAAGTTGTGATTCTCCCCTCAAAAACCCCACCGTAATACCAGATAATATCCATGTTTTTTGTTCATTCTAGGGATGGGAATGATTAATCAAATATTCAAAATGATTCAGGTACTCGAATACGAGTGTTTTTTTTAAATTGGGAGGGGTGCCTAAGTTGATTACATATCATCAAATGGATTAATTAAATGTATACGACGGTGCCATTTGGTTTAAAACAAACATTTAAAAAACATTTTTTATAGGATATGTAAATTCGGTTAACCGTTTCTTTTGGGGTTGAATATTCTAATATAAAATGTGCTTTCAAATTCCCATCCCTAGATCATTCTACGTTTTCTTCCATCTGAATTTTACCCCACGGTCCATATTACTATTATTTACTCTTTACCTACAATGGCTCAAATTACTCTGTCATACATTTGCCTGTATATCTAACAGTTGCTCAAAAAACAGATCTTAAAAAGGTCCCCTATTATACTGTTTTTCATCAATATATTACAGGTCTCAGATATATACAGAGCCTGTCTCTGATTGGCTGAAACACCAAACAGATCATTGCAGCATCCCATAATCCCCTCTGTTTCAGCCCTGTTTCCAAAGTGCTGATTCTCTGTCTGTTACTTTAGATGAAAATAAGGAGCCCCTCCCCACGCCCCTCTGAGAGATATTTGGTTAAAAAGAACACAATGGTGCTCTAGGAGGAGATTCAGGTGATAAGGGGGGGGGGGGGGGTTACCTTGGTTGGTGATTGGCTAATGGTTACACAAGCCAAAACATCGTTATGACATCATAAAGTGGCCAAAATCTGATCAGCTCATTTTCAAACAGGTTTTTATATAAATGGATCAGGACAAAAAGAGAGAGAATCTTTGTTCCTGAGACTTTCAGAATCTCTTTCCACAGAGTTGATGTATAAAAGACTTGAACAAGTGGATTTTGCATAATAGGTGACCTTTAATACCAGATAAATGTGGGTAAATGCGCATCAGTACCAGGTACATTTAGGTAATCTCACCACGTTGCGGGAGCCTGGCCCGACTGCCACCACCGTGGCCTGCAGCACTTTGCTCTGAGCTTTCTCCGGCAGCATGATGCCGCCCTTCGTTACCGTCTCTGGGATAAAACGCTCCACGAGCACCCGGTCGAACAAGGGGAGGAATTTCCTGAAAGCCTGTGAAGTGTCCAGAAAAGAGAGAAGGAATCATTAGCAAATAATATAAATTACTATCAAATAAAATGTTAGGTTTAAGAGAGGTCATAAAGCACTTAAAACTAGAGAAACTCTCAACTAGAGAATTTGAAAAAAGGTGGCATCCATTCCTGGAATAAGCTGAATTTAAGCTTTAAATCTCCTTATATGTAATTAGTAGACATACACAGTGTATTATTTAGGACACGCTGCATAATGACATCTTTTAAAGTGTAATCCTTGAGAATGTAACATTAGCCTTGTTGTTGTTCTTTAACCATTTAACAAATATTCCCCTTTTTTGTCATATTTGCTTTTTTTGGTTTGAGGAAAATGTTTGCATTCAACTTGTCTGTAATACTCAAAAACGAATAAACACAGTTATAACAAATTACATTTTACCTTGTCACATCACTAAATAAAACCTTTATTTTATTGTAAGACGCTTATGTTACACAACCCTAAAAGACACCTAGGACCCCACTGAGGTTATAGTGAGTTTTGTAACCAAAAAAAAAAAACCAGACTGATCAATAGCATCGATTCTTTTACAGTATTTTTACACAAGAAAAACAAAAAAGGGGTTTAGTAAAATGTGTTTAAGAGGGAGGATTAATTCCCAGTTTTGGCTGATCTATTTGGGAAAGGGGGGAGGAAGCTAAATGGAGGAGTGGGAGGTGGAGTAAATCTTCATAGAGCTTAATTAAAGACAGTATCTAAACACTAAGTGAGCAGCTACTCCACAGAGGCAGCATTTGTTCATTCACTCTATTAATATAGGAGAAGCAGCAGCTGAATAATGGACGACAAGATTTATAACACCAGCTGCACCAACATGTCTGATCGCAGCAGATGTACCAGTGACCTTGGTTGAAGCTTGTTTTTGAACAAGGTGGTGGTAGTGGGAGTTAAAAGAGGGGGAGGGGGAGGGTGTGTGGGGGAGGACAGGTCACAGTTTGTGGACTGATCAGAAAGAGGTGGGGTTACTCATTCATTCATCGTGACGGTTTAACCCGAGGACAAGGACAGCTGATAACATACTTGAATGGTCATTTAGTCAGTCAGAAACAGACTGTGTATGTATGATACAAACCTTGACTGGTGATGCAATGTCCTCCAGGTTTTTAAAATGACAAGATAACACTCGAGGCCGGCTGTACAGATTACCAGAATGTTCTCAGTGCAGTATTTCACAAGGTTGTAGGCGCAAGTTGCATAAAATGGCTACGATTAACTACACAGCCTATTTTCTAGTACTGCACCCCAGTGTTGATAAAGAGTAACCCCTTTTTGTTTTCAACAGCACCACAAACTGAAGTCCCCGTAGCTTTTTTGATAAGCTGTAGCTGAAAAAGTATATAAACTGTAGGATGCATTACAGAATATACCTTATGAACCGGCACATTTAGGGTTATTTTCCTATTTGTATAATACCGTCTGCATTTCCTGTGGTACTTAGTTCTTTAAGATTCAATTATCCCCACAGCTGTACTGTAATAAAACCAGAATATTTGACAAATATGGTAATGCGTTTTCATTTATATACTAAAATAAGTTGCTATTTAAGTCAATTTTAGCTAATATGTTAAGAGGACCTCTCTGTTTTATCAGATGGATTTAAAGTGTATTCACAGATCTCCTGATCAATTCTGCATATAATTACTATAAGGAATAATTATTTGATTTACTTTTTGGGAAACTGGCTACAAATCCTATAGATAAACACATCTTGAATTATTATTTTGGCATTATTGTATGGTCTCAGGACCTTACAAAGTTAAGCTGTAGTGTGCATGGACATGTGAGGTCAGAGACGACGTAAACGGAAGCCGGAAATGATTTAAACCGGGCGAGCATGCAATTCGTATTTTTCACCCACCAAGGGCATGCATAGCGCAATATGACAAAAATGTATATGACAAACATGTAATAAATACGCAGTTTTAAGAGATAATAGCCCAAAATTACAGTAAAAACTGGACTTTCTATAGGATCTCTGACACTTAATTCATTCACATGTGACTGCTGCTGCAGGGATGAATGAATGAATGAATGTCAGGATCAGTAAGCTATGACACTAAATTACCTGCATTTATATCCCCATATGTCTGCTTTGATGACGGATAATAACTAATACTACACAAGAAAAGCAGAAATATATCGGTTTAAAGCTCCATTTGCACGTTAAAGCTAGTCAGTCATCTCCTATAACAGTTAATACAATGCATTATAAAGATGAATATTCCTTTGTTTAGTAAACGCATCCTTTTCTCTCAGCTTTTAATCGCTTGACCTTGTGAAACCATGTTAAAGGCAGCTAACACAACATTAGCTAGCTGCGTATTATAACACAGCAGCCACATGCAGACAGTTTTATCCTGTATTTAAATCCTTTATCCATCTTTAGTTTGAATTATTAACACCCACAGTTGTTTAAAGCTGAGTATCTTACCATTTCTAGATGTGTGAGAGGTCTGGAGACGACGTGAAGCTGCAGGTTTTCTTGCTGTGACACAGACTGAAGGGGGATATCTGTACTCCACGTGAAATGTACTGCGCATGCGCATTACGGTGTAGAAATTGACACCGGATTCTCTGCCTTCCAGAAGATTCCACAACACCTAACTGCGAATAACAACAACGGTTTTCATTCATACATGTTATATAAGGGGAATACAGTGTGTTTTTAAGGTGTTTAATGTCTTATTTAGTGTTTTAATGTCGCAGCAATGTTGCACAATATAAACTTTGACCTCTATTTTTTCCTCCAATGGCACAGGAGAAGCTTCTAGAAACGCCAGCCCCGGAACGAGCATAGAGAGATATTCTGAATTACACAAGTGAACATTACCTTAAATATTGAATGATGTATATTGTATTGGAAACATTGAAAGTGAAGCTCTCTGTTGGTTATTCAATGTGTAATTATTTATATGTATAAGAAATTGTGTCCTTTTGTAGGTAGGTAGGTAGGTGGGTAGGTAGGTAGGTAGGTGGATGGATGGATGGATGGATACTTTAATTATCCCAATTTGGGACATGTTTGCGTTGCAGCAGCATAAAAACACAAGGCAATGTACATAAGAGAAACTAAGACACAGAAATAAACAGTCCAATATATTTTAGAAATAGAAATAGAAATAAAATAGCATTAAAAAGTTAAAAAGTTAAAAGATAAAAAAAAAAAAATAGACATCTTTATATACATCTTTCTTGTTAAAATTATTTATTTTTGTATTCTATATATTTATATACTTACTACCACAGGTATACTCCATGTATTAAATGTATTGAATATACTCAAATACATCTGTTTTATAAGTCCCTTTTTTCCAAAGTGTTCTGCAGTTATTCATGTTCCGGGGCCCGCCGGTGAATGCCCCGGATGTGAAAAGCCCATGTGCAGCTCCATCAGATCTCATTTGCAGCACACGGCTCGTCCTTTTACTCCGACCGTCTCTCATTCAGACCTGCAGACCTGCACCAAGAAGCAGCTACACGATCTCTAATACCTCACAAGTAAGTGCTGACATCTTTACTAACTCCTTACAAAACTAATGTGACTAATACTACAAGCTTATTGCACTTTTGTGTAACATTAAAGGCGGATTTCTGCTCTAGCTATGAGGCAACTACTAGCTTTAAATACTCCTAGCATACAGGTTTTTCTTTCGTAACTGCAAGGACATACATGATTGAATCTAACTACATTCTACATCTAATTTTAGGTTACTGTCTTTGTATGATATACCCTGTTTTAATTGAATTTAATCAGAAATGTCATGATGCAACATTGCCTGTCATACTCCACCACATTGCAGCTGTGCACAACCTTACATCCAATGCAGGAAGCGTGTCTTTAATATGAATTCATTATGATTTTAAATACATTATAATCATGTATTCCTGCTGTCAGACAGTAGGATGGAGTTTCATTGATGGTGAGGCTGTTTCCGCACATGCTTTTTTACAATATGACCTTGTGACGCACGACCTGAAGAGCACACGTGGGGGTGGGGGGAACCCGGAAGTGGATTTTTTTGGGGGGTGGGGTGCTTTTCATAATCCAGTCACGATTAATGACAGATGGTCAAATAAACCAGATTCTTTATTATTTATAGATACTGTGAATTAGGATTTGGTAAATTGAAAAATGGGTGGTTGTGAGATCATAGTGACGCCACTATATTTACCCAATTACTGTAATTAGGTACACATTTAGGTACACATTTGAGGTAGTATTTCTGCTTTATGCTACTCTTAATTTGTGGAGATTGTATTTTAACATGTGATGGGAAGCCTTTAAATATCAATATTTCTGAGATAATTAAAGGGCCACCCTCAAGGAACTTTCGTAATCAAAGAGAAACAACAAAGACTTTTACTAACAGAGAAGCAGCTATAAAACAGTGATATAAAAGCCATTAAATTGTTTCAAATGAAGGATAAACAGTCGATGGGTATATTAAAATGTCAAACTAAATACAGGTAGTTTAAAGATCTACACGTACAGGTTTAAAATCAAACTAAAACGGGTGATTTTTATTCAGGATTGGACTTAAATTTGGAAAAAGCAGTGTAAGAAATAACATTGAACGTTCATTTACTCGAGAGAAATGTAAGGCATTTTCTTTATACAGAAATGGCAAAAAAGCACTAAATTTAATGCAGTGGTGAAAGTAACTAAGTACATTTACTCAAGTAATGTGTTTAAGTACAATTTCAGTGTACTTTACTTGAGTAGTTATGTAGCTTAATACTTCTAAACTGACAATTATTCTAGAATGAGTTTGAGACAAGGCCACTTTTCAATATTGACGTAAGGGATTTCTAATCGAGACGATTATAATCCTTATTTAGATATTGATCAAGCACATTGGTTTCTTAAATCAACATGAACATGGCCCTAAAGCTTTGACATGTTGATATCAAAATAATAATAGAGTATTTGAGTAATTAACTAACTGATAAAAATAAGAAATGGTTGCATCCTAATTGGATTGGATCCCATCCCCTCAGGTAGCTGGTAAAAATTAGTAGTTTGAATTAAACCCAGCCTACTCATTAATTAGTAATAATAACTGTAGTGTGACTTTATATCCATCCCCTGAGAACACAAGTTAACCTGTAAAATTATATTTTTGTAATACATGTAACCTTTTTGTAGAAGATAATTCACAGAACTTTGAACATATTTGACTTAGAAGTGGATATTCATTCATTCATTAACTGGTGTCATGCGATACCACTAGAGACCACTAGGGGGCTCAGTTAACCTTTGTAACACATAATCTGTCCTCAGGTGACATCTGAGGGGTGGGTTAGGGGGGTTTGAATAATTATTATTTAGGATGTGCCAATACTAGAGTGAAGAAATACTCTTACTTTGAAGAAAAAGTCATGCCTTTTTAAATGCATTTAATTTGAACAAAAAGTTAGTTTAATATTTTTTTAGTACTTTTATCTACTGCCGTACAGCTTTTCATTTGTTGGTTTATGATTTGTATTTTTTTTTATCTAGAAAGTAACTTTACAATCTATCAAATACATGTTATTGAATAAATAAAAAAGAACAATATTTGTGGAGATTTCTGTAATTTAGCAGAAAATTGACTCGAGTAAATTTATAATACCTATAAATTGTATTACTAATAAGATAAAATGAACCTTGGTGATCCTACATTGGGAAGTTGCTTTGTTGCAAGCAGGTTTTTACAATACTTTAATATAATTTAAACATCAACAGGTAACATATACTTCAATAAATGTACTTAGTTCCCTTCTACCACGATGTTTTTCACTAATTAAATACAACTATTGGGCTAAATAACTGTGAATTAGGACTATTTGGCAAATGGAAAAATGTGTGGTTGTACTGGTAGAATATATATTTACCCAATTACTGTAATCGGGTACAAATTTGAGGTAGTATTTCTGCTTTATGCTACTTATACTCTTAGTTTGTGGAGACTGTATCTTAACATTTGATGAGAAGCCTTAATTTATTTTGGTGAACACGTGTCTTGCCATGCATATTACATTCTTGTGACTTCCCGATAGCTCTGCGGGTTTAATTGGACACAATGTCCATTAGTCTCTCACATGTCGGCTAACTCCTCCTCTTTCTGTCCGTTTTCTCCTCAGAGATGTTCCGTCTCCCGACCATCATGAAGCAGGTGCGGCCCGTGTGCCGTGCGCTCGCCCCTCACCTCACCCGATCCTACGCCAAAGACGTGAAGTTCGGAGCTGAAGCTCGAGCTCTGATGCTGCAGGGAGTCGACCTGCTGGCCGACGCTGTGGCCGTCACCATGGGCCCCAAGGTGAGAACTCATATTGAAGATTGTAGTATATTGAAGGTCACCTATTATGCAAAATCCACTTGTTCTTGTATTTTCTACATCAACATGTGTCCCCTCTTCTTCATGTCTTTTCTTCATCATCATGTGTCCCCTCTTCTTCATGTCTCTTCTACATCAACATGTGTCCCCTCTTCTTCATGTCTCTTCTACATCAACATGTGTCCCCTCTTCTTCATGTCTCTTCTACATCAACATGTGTCCCCTCTTCTTCATGTCTCTTCTACATCAACATGTGTCCCCTCTTCTTCATGTCTCTTCAACATCAACATGTGTCCCCTCTTCTTCATGTCTCTTCTACATCAACATGTGTCCCCTCTTCTTCATGTCTCTTCTACATCAACATGTGTCCCCTCTTCTTCATGTCTCTTCTACATCAACACGTGTCCCCTCTTCTTCATGTCTCTTCTACATCAACACGTGTCCCCTCTTCTTCATGTCTCTTCTTCATCAACATGTGTCCCCTCTGTGGAAAGAGACTCTGAAAGTTTCAGGAACAAAGATTCTCTCTCTTTTTGATCCATTTCTATAAAAACCTGTCTGAAAATGAGCTGATCAGATTTTGGCCACTTTATGATGTCATAGCGATGTGTTGTCTTGTGTAACCATTAGCCAATCAGCAACCAAGGTAACCCCCCCCCCCCCCCCCCCCCCCCCCCTTATCACCTGAATCTCCTCCTAGAGCACCATTGAGTTCTTTTTAACCAAATCTCTCTCAGAGGGGCGTGGGGAGGGGCTCCTTATTTTCATCTAAAGTAACAGACAGAGAATCAGCACTTTTGAAACAGGGCTGAAACAGAGGGGATTATGGGATGCTGCAATGATCTGTTTGGTGTTTCAGCCAATCAGAGACAGGTTCTGTATATATCTGAGACCTGTGATATATTGATGAAAAACAGTATAATAGGGGACCTTTAAGTCATGAGTTACACACCCTCAATTTGGACAAAGTGATTAATTGGATTAGCCTTTGTTCTTTAAATCAGATTAGCATTCTTCTACATAAGGGTTTGAAAGCAGGAATTTAACTATAGATTAATCTAATTAAAGGATCTAAATACTTAACTCACCACTGGTGCTGGGTAATATTGTAATACCCAAAATAAATGCTTTTAAAACAAACAAAAAAACGTGAATAAAATCCTGAATTTTACAAAGTCGTTAATCTGATTAAATAAGTCTCTTTATTTTTTTTAATAAACATTTTTAAAAGGTTTTCTTCCAACCTGGTCATTTATGCTACGTCTTTTTATAGTCACTGTCCGTAAGCAAATACTAGTAATTGTGGTAATGTATGAAGCTTTTAGATAATACAAATGTGTGCTTCCCTTGCAAGCGGGAGGTCAAACACTTATTTTATTTTTTTAACACCAACAAATGAGGATGTGGATCACACGTGTGAGAAGCAATCCTACAGATTGTATAATATAAGTGTTTCTGTGGGGAAAACTTCTGAAGCAGTTTGAGTCAAGACTCAGAGAGACACGAGGAGAGCTGGAGCTTTGATGGCAAACACTGACGGTTTATTTGGAGCTTCGGCCGGAGAATTCACACGACATGTCACGGGCCACGAGTTAACCACACGGTTGAGATGCCACAATCAATTCTGAAGAACCCTTCTTCTCCTATGAGGTTTTAACTAGTTTCGCTAAGGGTAATCAACATTCTTCATTAGTTAGACTAAACAGCGGAGGAAACTGAATCAACTTTAGTTGTCGGTGATGGCTCGGGGTCATCTACACCCCGAGAAGGATGTGTTCCAGGTGTCCCACAACAATGACTATCTCTGACCGACAGTTGCCCGGTCACAAACTGGTAACAGCAACAAAATGCTAGGGCAGCCCCTCCTTAAGGGAGATAACGGCTGCTCAAGGTTGGAGCATCTGTGTCGGAGGGTGAAAGAGGACACTAGGGCAAATTATTCCCTGACATTAGATAATTCAAACAGATTTTGAATAATGCGCTTTTAATGAAGCCTCAAACTCTCATCTACATCCCCTTTGTAATGTAATCCCAACCCTTTTTGTATCTAACCACTTCCTGTCTGTTCCAGGGTCGCAACGTGATCATCGAGCAGAGCTGGGGCAGCCCGAAGGTCACGAAGGACGGCGTGACGGTGGCCAAGAGCATCGACCTGAAGGACAGGTACCAGAACATCGGAGCCAAGCTGGTGCAGGACGTGGCCAACAACACCAACGAGGAGGCTGGCGACGGCACCACCACCGCCACCGTGCTCGCCCGCGCCATCGCCAAGGAGGGCTTCGACATCATCAGCAAGGGAGCCAACCCCGTGGAGATCCGCAGAGGAGTCATGATGGCCGTGGAGACCGTCATCAAGGAGCTGAAGAACCTCTCCAGGCCGGTCACCACGCCCGAGGAGATCGCACAGGTGAGACATGATGAGAGGTTGATTTAGAGACATGAATGAGTTTATAGGAAGTGCACTGGGGGGGAAGATGAATACTTTATTAATCCCACAAGAGGGGATCGCACAGGTGAACATGACGAGCAGGAGTTAGTTTAGAGAAATGTTGAGGAAGTGCACAAGGGTGTAATGAAACTAAAATGAAGAAGACATATTCTCTTAATCCTACTAGAGTGTATTCTGTTTTCACTCAGTTAGTGTGTATATATACATACACACAGTACAAATACACACATGCATCAAACTGGAATGATACTCACATAACAAAGACTTTAGGTACATTTACTCAAGTACAATGAAATATACGCATATACAAAATGTATATTAACATGGACTATTTTACTTCACAATCAATAACTACTTTAAGTACAGTATGCAGTAACATCCTGAAGTCCTAATGAAATGTTTTTTTTATTTTCTTTAAGGTTGCCACAATCTCAGCCAACGGAGACGTGGAGATCGGTACCATCATCTCTAACGCCATGAAGAAAGTCGGCCGCAAGGGAGTCATCACTGTCAAGGTTAGGATCAGAACTTTAATACCTTCACACTCTCCCAACACACTCTCCCAACACGCTCTCCCAACACGCTCTCCCAACACGCTCTCCCAACACGCTCTCCCAACACGCTCTCCCAACACGCTCTCCCAACACGCTCTCCCAACACGCTCTCCCAACACGCTCTCCCAACACGCTCTCCCAACACGCACTCCCAACACGCTCTCCCAACACGCACCCCCAACACGCTCTCCCAACACGCACTCCCAACACGCACTCCCAACACGCTCTCCCAACACGCTCTCCCAACACGCTCTCCCAACACGCTCTCCCAACACGCTCTCCCAACACGCTCTCCCAACACGCACTCCCAACACGCACTAACTGGAAATGATAAAACGGCAAAATATCCTCCCTTTTCTCGTCCCTTTTTTTTTTAGTGTTACTGATGTTCGTTCTGTAAATTCTCTCGGTATCCTCTGTAGTAAATAATATTGAACATACGGGTTAAAAACATTTGCTTTAATGATGTCAATAAGTCTGTAATAGTGTGTGAGCTAATGAATGCTTTTCATCTCAGGACGGGAAGACCCTGCACGACGAGCTGGAGATCATCGAGGGAATGAAGTTTGACCGCGGATACATCTCCCCTTACTTCATCAACTCTGCCAAAGGTAAGAGAGCTCACATTTCTACAAACGCCTCCCATGAAGAAATGAAGAAACTCGAAGCTGAATGTGTTTGTTGGCGTTTCCAGGTCAGAAGTGTGAGTTCCAGGACGCCTACATCCTGCTGAGCGAGAAGAAGATCTCCACCGTGCAGAGCATCGTTCCCGCTCTGGAGCTCGCCAACCAGAACCGCAAACCTCTGGTGATCGTGGCCGAGGACGTGGACGGAGAGGCGCTCAGCACCCTGGTGCTCAACAGGTACATGTGAAGAGGAGATGGGGGGGGGGGGGGGGAAAGACCTTCATGTCTTAAAGGTCACCTATTATGCAAAATCCACTTTTTCACGTCTTTTCTACATCATGTTAATCTGAACTAAACATTGCATTTGGAGAAAAAAGTCACAATTTTGAGAAACTTCAGAATTTTTAGATTTTGAGAAAAAGTCAGAATTTTGAGATTTTCAGAAAGTCAACATTTTGAGAAAAAAAATCTGAATTGAGAGAAAGTCAGAATTTTGAAATTCAGAAACATTTTCAGAAAAAAACCCACATTTCTGTGTAAAGAGATTCTCAAAGTTTCAGGAAAAAAGATTCTCTTTTTGTCCTGATCCATTTATATAAAAACCTGTCTGAAAATGTGCTTAATGTGTGTCTGGGAACTCACAAAGGAATGAATTTCTTTCTTTACCTACTCCTGTAACTAACTTCCTGCGACTCATTCTCGCCTGTTCAGTCCCCACATGGCTGCGTCAGGGCTAGTATGTCGCTAGATGAACACCAGCACGAGAATTATCAGAGAGGATCTCCTTGCCTCTCTGTTCTCACCCTGCACCCGTTGGTTACATCTGATTCATCTGCTTTTTCTCTGAACTGATAGAAAAGATCCTCAGTTTCCTTCTCTGAACGTCTCTTGTGTTTACAGACACTAATAGTCATTACTACATCACACAATGTATACTTAAAAACCACAAAAGTTGCTTTAATCAGGAATAACATGGACAGTTTGTTACAAAATTGTCACCTTAAAGGGGACCTATCATGCAAAATGCACTTTTTAAAAATGTATATAAAAACCGCTGATCAGATTTTGGGCACTTTATGATGTCATAACGATGTTTTGGCTTGTGTAACCATTAGCCAATCAGCAACCAAGTTAACTAGAGCACCATTGTGTTCTTTTTAACCAAATCTCTCAGAGGGGTGTGGGGAGGGGACAGTTTCTGGATATATCTGAGACCTATAATATATTGATGAAAAACAATAGAATACCTTTTAAGTGTGATTTGTAACGCCTGCAAGTCCAAAAAAAGCACTTTGATGTTCTTGGCCTTTTAGTAAATAGTTTCTTTCTCACATCTTGACATGCAGGCTGAAGGTGGGGCTCCAGGTTGTGGCTGTTAAGGCTCCAGGGTTCGGAGACAACAGGAAGAACCAGTTGAGGGACATGGCCGTCGCCACCGGAGGAACCGTAAGTTCACTGCTTTCTCATAATTACGTAGATTGTAAGTGTCCATCATGTCCATTGAATGCTATCTTAAACCTCTACTGCAATAACCATCGTAACGACATATTTTACCTTTTAATTCAAATACATATATTTCATAACTTTAGTTTGCAGATTCGGATTAATAATACAAAATGGTGCAGCTTTGTCAAATTCAGTGCTTCCTCCTCTGTGGATGCCACTGGCCAAAATGGCTGCCACAGTGAAGCTGTAGTTCATGGGCCCCACGGTGCTTCATCACGGCCCCTGGGGATAAAAATGTACTACACACACACACACACACACAGACGTGAAGTTAATTCAAAGAGTGCGAATACTCTGCAGTTGCAACAAAGAAAGTATTTCCATCGGCCACTCTTTAAACACCGCCAGAGCCCATACCGTGTTCCTCAGGGTGGTCCTTAGTGCCATGTACATTTTCAAATTCATTTATTTTAAGCTCCAACCACCGGAATTCGTTATGATAGTCAAGAAAACTCTCCTGGTGAATTTTATTCAAATTCCAACAACATTTACCCCCCCCTCATCAACTTTGAAGTTTAGGCTCACGTAGGGTGGTCCTTAAAGTTGAGAGTCGGAAAGTCTAATGGCACATTTCCACTGCAGGGCCTCGTACGGTATTGTTAGGCCTTGGGAGGCCAGGCTCACTTTATGCTGCGTTTCCATTACAGTTTAGGAACTGGGGTAGTAACTATAGTAACGCAGTGTAGGCGGAGCCGTGTCGTCATCTTCAATGCGAAACACAAAACCAACATCAGCCGTTAGCCGTTAGCACTCAGAGCTCACAGCTCCTCATATCTGTTCAGAAACTAGTCAAAAGTTAAACAAGTACAAACCACAGACTGCCTGTGTCATGGAGAATACAGTCGCTGCTTTATTTATGTTTGTATAGGCCGTTGTGAGTGTGGACGGTCGGAGCATATACTGCGTTAGCTTAGCCAATCTCCATTCAGAAAACACGCATTTTAAAAGGTTTTTCGCCTGCCGTCTGTCTGCAGACTTGTCAAAGCATTAATTCATGGTTTTTACTAACCGGTATCAGTATGTTGTTACTTCGGCATCATTTTGAAACGTGTATTACAATTAAATCACGGTCAAATATGTTCATCTTGTTGTAGTTGTAGCCCCCTTGCCAGCGATTCTCTAGTTTAGCATATTCAAATATCAAGACACAACACATGAAAAACAAACATTTAACATAACAGCACAATCACTGAGAGAAAACATGCTCAAAGAGCCTTCAGCGTGCATTTGATCTGGGATTTATCTCTGTTAAATATTAATCTTATCTTGATATCTCGTCCTCCCTGCAGGTGTTTGGAGACGATGCTGTGGGTCTGGCTCTGGAGGACATCCAGGCTCATGACTTCGGTAAGGTGGGCGAGGTTCAGATCACCAAAGACGACTGCCTGCTGCTGAAGGGCGGCGGCAGCATCGCTGACGTAGACAGACGAGCAGCTGAGATCATCGAGCAGCTGGAGAACTGCACCAGCGACTACGAGAAGGAGAAGCTCAACGAGAGGCTCGCCAAGCTCTCTGACGGAGTGGCCGTGCTCAAGGTGCGGCTCAACACACAGTGGCTAGAAAGCTAATCTAATGTTATGCACAGAGATGGCAAGAGTACACGCATCCTTTACTCAAGTAGAAGTACAGATACTCGTGTTTCAAAATGCTCTGGTGAAAGTAGAAGTACTGACTAAACTTCTTCACTCAAGTCAAAGTAAAGAGGGCTTTGAAATGTACTTCAGTAAAAAGTACCCATAACTAGCAGCTGTTTTAAAGAGTACCTGACCTCCCTTTATATTAATAGAACAATAATGTCATTGTTAGCTAATGAATGTTTCCATGCTGAACAACGGCAACATGACAACGTTTTCATTGGTCCCTCTTCTTTAGAGAAGACCAGGAAATGATGGATACACGGATCGTGTTCAAATCAATAGGCACGCAATGACTCTAAATAATAATGATCACGCCACCAAACACACATTCAAACTAAAGGAACCAGCCTGTTTGGAAAATGTAAGAAGTAGAAAGTACAGGTATTTGGGTTCAAAATGTAAGAAGTAGAAAGTACAGGTATTTGTGTTCAACATGTAAGAAGTAGAAAGTACAGGTATTTGTGTTCAACATGTAAGAAGTAGAAAGTACAGGTATTTGGGTTCAACATGTGAGAAGTAGAAAGTACAGGTATTTGTGTTCAACATGTGAGAAGTAGAAAGTACAGGTGTTTGTGTTCAACATGTAAGAAGTAGAAAGTACAGGTGTTTGTGTTCAACATGTAAAAAGTCGTCAGACGATAAATACTTGTAAATACTGATCGTGGCTTCCTTACTTGTTTTTCTTTCAAGCCACTAGACGCCTTAAAGGGGACCTATCATGCAAAATGCACTTTTTTATGTCTTTTCTACATAAATATGTGTCCCCGGTGTGTCAGGGAACTCACGCAGCGTCAGAAAATAAAACACTCTTTTCCTCCGTACCCAAATCTCTAAAAACGGGGCTACAACGGAGCTGATATTTGCGGCTGATATGCCGTAATATCTGAAAAGTGGACCCACGGCACAATCAGAAAGTTGCTATCAGAAACAATGCCCGACTGTTTTGGACGTAATATGGTCGGAAAAAATAAGTAGTGGAGTAAAGTACTGATACCAGAAAAATGTACTTAAGTACAGTAACGAAGTATTTGTACTCCGCTACTTCCCACCTCTGGTTATTTATATATATAGTCCAACATCACAAATTCCACATTTGTCTTGGGGGGTTTTACAGTCTGTACAGATTAACCAACCATGAAGAAATGACAGATTGAAGAACATGAGTTGTGCCGTCTGTATTTCAGATTGGAGGAACGAGTGACGTGGAGGTGAACGAGAAGAAGGACCGTGTGACGGACGCTCTGAACGCCACGCGGGCGGCGGTGGAGGAGGGCATCGTGCCGGGCGGCGGCTGCGCTCTGCTGCGCTGCATCCCATGCCTGGACTCCATCCCCACGGCCAACGCTGACCAGAAGATCGGTCAGTACACATATACTATGCTCAGTTATTGTACCCTTTTAGAGATAGTTTGGCTAAATATATTTAGGGCCTGAGCTCGACAAAGTCAGAGCGAAGACCTATTGAAATCCTAGGAATTATTTGTATTCTTTTTTTTCTACCAAATTAATTGCCTTATGAATATTATATCCTTTTGTAAAGTAGTGAAAAGCACATTTACAGGACATTTTATTTTTCTTGAGCGACGACCACATGTGCAGCTTTATAATGTGTTTAAATCCTCTGTCCCCCTGCCAGGTGTGGAGATCATCCGACGGGCGCTGCGTATCCCCGCTATGACCATCGCGAAGAACGCCGGTGTGGAGGGCGCTCTGGTGGTGGAGAAGATCCTGCAGTTGGGAGGCGAGATCGGATACGACGCCATGCTGGGAGAGTACGTCAACATGGTGGAGAAGGGCATCATCGACCCCACCAAGGTGAGGAAAACACACATCACTTCTACGCTTTATTTTAAAGCTTAATATGAGATCTAAACTGGGTCTACACTGCCACCTAGTGGTTGGGAGGCTCACTTTTACTTCTGATATTTACAGTAGTTTTTGTTACAGTTTCTAGAATATTTCTAAACTGCAGGGTTCCACTTTAGCTCTTAACTTAAAGGTCACCTATTATGCAAAATTCACTTGTTCATGTCTCTTCTCCATCAGCATGTGTCCCCCCTGTGTAAAGAGATTCTGAAAGTTTTCATTTATATAAAAACCTGTCTGAAAGTGAGCTAAAAATGTGTCCCGGTGTGTCAGGGAACTCACAAAGGAATGAATTTCTTTCTGAACCTACTCCTGTAACTAACTTCCTGCGACTCATTCTCGCCTGTTCAGTCCCCACATGGCTGCGTCAGGGCTAGTATGTCGCTAGATGAACACCAGCACGAGAATTATCAGAGAGGATCTCCTTGCCTCTCTGTTCTCACCCTGCACCCGTTGGTTACATCCGAGTCATCTGCTTTTTCTCTGAACTGACAGAAAAGATCCTCAGTTTCCTTCTCTGAACGTCTCTTGTGTTTACAGATGCTAATAGTCATTACTACATCACACAATGTATACTTAAAAACCACAAAAGTTGCTTTAATCAGGAATAACATGGACCTTAAAGGGACCTATCATGCAAAATGCACTTTAAAAAAAAAATGTATATAAAAACTGCTGATCAGATTTTGGCCACTTTATGATGTCATGATCTTTTGTCTTGTGTAACCATTAGCCAATCAGCAACCAAGGTACCCCCCCCCCCCACCTTATCACCTGAATCTCCTCCTAGAGCCCCATTGAGTTCTTTGTAACCAAATCTCTCTCAGAGGGGAGTGGGGAGGGGCTCCTTATTTTCATCTAAAGTAACAGACAGAGAATCAGCACTTTTGAAACAGGGCTGAAACAGAGGGGATTATGGGATGCTGCAATGATCTGTTTGGTGTTTCAGCCAATCAGAGACAGGTTCTGTATATATCTGAGACCTGTGATATATTAATGAAAAACAGTATAATAGGGGACCTTCAATTTAGAAATCTGTTTTTACATGGCACCTTGCATGAGCAGACGTTAAGTGCTTCACAATAAAAGAGTGAAATAAAATGACTGCAGACACCAAGCTATAAACTAATGGCGTCCTCTCTCTCCCTTCAGGTGGTGAGGACGGCGCTGCTGGACGCTGCAGGAGTCGCTTCTCTGCTCTCCACCGCTGAGTGCGTGGTGACGGAAATCCCCAAGGAGGAGAAGGAGATGTCCGGAGGAATGGGAGGCATGGGAGGAATGGGAGGCATGGGAGGAATGGGAGGTGGTTTCTAAAGCCTGCCCTCCTAGCTGTACAGACTAATACAGGCAGAGCGGTGCAGGGTGGGGGCTTAGAGGGAGAAAACCCTCTGAGAAAACTGCACCCACCCCCACCAGACTTTGTCCAAACTGACTGGCCATGAGTGTATGTTGGAGCCCTCCCCGAATTTCCACAAATCACACGATTCTGCCTCTGGAGGAGTCCAAAACACGACATGAGGATGAAGTTACTACACCTCCACTCCACTGTAATGGCTACAACAGAAAGATTATACGCATTTATAAAGTCCATAGTGTTGATGCTCTGTTAGCGCTAAGAGAAACGATGCCTAGCCATGATTGTGTCAGTTATCTTTGTCATAGTATTTTGTTAATTCTTGTTTTTTTTTTATTATATATATCTGTTGTTTCTGTTCCCCCCCCCCTAGCTAACATTATGTGATTTAATTAAACCCATTTTCATACAGAGCTTTTTCTGTGATTTTTTTTTTTTCTTCCGTACAGTAAGGTGACGAGTGCCTAAATTCCCAGTTTAAGAAACAAAGTAATGTTTACGCAGATGTGTGCAAGTCATTTTCATGCATGTGAGTTTATGTTCCTGTATGTTGTTGCTGACTTAAAGTGAGAGGAAGTGGGATCGAGTTACAAAGTCTAAATGTGAAATGCTGTGTGTCTTTGTGCTGTTGAACATTGGCCTTCATTTCTCCTCTCATGCGCTCTGCTTTAACGTCAAGTCACATCCAGAAAACTATACATACATTAAATACTTTATTTCCTGTGTGAAAACGGCATATAGCAGTGCTCACTCAACTTCTGTTTTGTACAATGTAGACTATGATTAATGGTGATTTTCTTTCCTTTTTTTTATTTAATAAAGTCAATTGTTCAGATGAATTTGTCACTCAAGTTCTTTTAAAAATATTTCCTGTTTGAGTCAGGAACAGCATTTAAGATGATAATAAAACGGCTCTTCTGGAGCTTGTATAGGCATTTCATTCAGTCACAGTAATAGAGGAAAAACAGGAGGGGTGTCTTCATTAAGAACATGTATTGCCACCCCAAAAATATCATTTTAAAGGGGCCCTATTCTGCTCATTATTGGCTTTATATCAGTATGTAGTGTCTCTACTTTAAAGAGTCCTCTCCTGCTGATGTTCAGGTGTATATCAGTATGTAGTGTCTCTACTTTAAAGAGTCCTCTCATGCTGATGTTCAGGTGTATATCAGTATGTAGTGCCTCTACTGGGACATGTCTCCATGCTTTAATGTTCAAAAAGCTCTTTATTTTTCTCATACTGCCTGTGCTGCAGCACCTCTTTTCACCCTCTGTCTGAAACCAGAGCCGAGTCTGCTCTGATTGGTTAGATGTCCCGACCCTTCGCCTATCACGTACAATGTGTTGGGAGAGCTGGGAATGAATAGTCTAACATTTGTTGACTCAGGAAATGAAGGAACATTCATTTGTCTGTGGCACAATAGTTTTAATCTGTTTAATATTTGGGTTTAATAGGGAAGGTATCAAGTATTTTTGAGTCAAAAGGCTTAACTCCAAGGCTGTTTAGATGTCAAGTCTAAAGTATTTGATATAACATTTGACTTTTCTTCACTAAAGCAGGTCAGAGGTCACAGAGGCCATAAATTGCACTCTGCTTTGACAGCAGTGACATTTGCAAACTGTTCGGAACTTCGGACTCGGCGAGCTTCATACCGATCTATTCTTACCGCTCACATGACACTATTCCTGTCCCCTCACTGCGACCCTGAACACACCTCAGTATCAAGTGTTCAAAACACAAAATAAAACACAAGTCAGGCTTTTTCTTTTTTGAAAAAATAGTTTATAACTCATGCAGTTGGTACATATTTCTGAAGACAATCAACACATTGTTTTCATCCCCTTCCCATGAAACACACACTACCATTTATATTTAAAAGCAGTGTTTTAAGTTCTTCAAACTAACATTTACACTTAAACTAGGTAATAAATATGATAAAATGAGTATAATGTTTAAAAATAACGAGATAAATATGCTGTTAGGAGGCACAGGTGGAGGTTTCATGGCTGTAGTCCAGCCAGGTTGCGCCCTTTGTATCGACAGTGGGTATACATGCTTTCTCAGCATTTAAAAGTAACACATATATACTGATATATGCTGATATTGCACACGTTATAGTTTTATAATCTTATGGTTTGTTCACACCAAACCCAAAGCTTTCTTTTCTTTGATGTATTTAGATTAAGTCAATGCCACGTTTTCCAATTTAAGCGCAAAATTAGCTTGAAGCCCTATAGGCCTACCGGGAAATTAAAGCATTTGATTCAATAAGAAACATCTTAAATGCTGGTGAGTTTATCTAATGTAAAAGTTAACAGTATAGAGATATCAATGTGTATACTTGATAACAAACCTGCCATATTTATACCTAATTTAGAAGCAGGGGCGGGGACTACTTCGACCGGTACCGCTAGTAAATTGTCAACGGGGGGTGCTAGTTATCCAACCGGCCCACCGCAAGTAAATACCACTAGTAAATTGTCAACAGGGGGGGGGGGGGGGGTGCTAGTGCCGACCAGCCCACTTCAGCCGGCGGCCCATCGGGTTTCGTCCCGAACGTCCCCGATGGCCAGTCCGCCACTGTTTAGTAGACATGAGTGTTGATTGAGAAGCTACTTTGTTAGCCTAGCCATGAGTGATCCAAACTCCATTTAGAGAACAAGCATTTTAAAATGTGTTTTTCCGTCTCGCAAACAGACCTGACAAAGCATTTATTCACATTTTTTGCAAATTAGCATCAAGATATAGTTAATTCAGCATCCTTTTGATTCATTTCCTGCAATAAAAGGACATTATATCGCTTTGTGTTTGGTGTGAACCAACATTTTGTCCAGCATGGCTCCCTGAAGGATGATGAGAGCACAGTATATGTAACACAAAGAAGAAGAAATAAACACAGTCTTCTACTAAAGCAAAATAAAAGTTCAGCACCCTTTGAAAGGTGTGTGTATTTCTGATAGTTTACAGTACATGAAGTACATCTATCTACTTGTCCTCACTGCATGATTCCAGAGACCTGGCCTGGTGGAGGTTTGTAGAAGGAGTTTACATATGAATTTATTGAGTTGCTTTGAGCCCTTCACGCTCAAGTAACCACAGAAAAACATTGAGGTTTTATTATCAATCTGGACCCGCTCTTAGTTACTGCTTCTGCTTATATAAACACGTCATCTGTAGATAACACAATGATTGTTTCCCTCTCTCTTTAACCTCTGTAACAAGATCCATAAGTAATCTGTGAGCTGTAACCTCAGACTTTCTACATCTTCAACCCTTTATTTCCACTGTAGTAAACAAGCTTTCATGGACCCAAAATAGTCATTTGATCAATGAGTCTTTCTTTGGAAAACAACCTGCAACTATATTATATTATCAAATACATGTTTCAGTCATTGTTAAACCAAAAAAAGGCATAATATTCTCTGGTTCCAGCTTTAAAAAATGGCTTATTTGCGGGTTTTCTTCATCACATGTGTTTATAAATTCAATATTTTCTGGTTTACGACAGTTACTGAGAGAGAACAAGACAGTTTTAATACATTATCTTGCCCTCTGATATATATCGAGTGCCATTTTTGCATAAAAAAGGACTTTAAGTGGCCGATTATTATCTAATCATTGCAGGATGTGATCAGATACTCTCTTTCATCATGACCCACAACACACTCGTTTTACCCCGTCATCTCAAGTTTCATAACCAGGCACCGATTGTTTAATTCCCATAATGGAAATGAGTTGAGATGGAAACAAGTCTGCATTTGTTTGTAGCACCGAGATGAAAATGAGCTGGTGGATCCACATCAAAAATATATAATTTCATTAAAAAATAAAAAGGGAGAGATGGGAAACTGTTGGGAATTAACTTGGTCGATGCTGTGAGAAAGGCATCAGTGCGAGTCTCTACTTCCTGTCTGACTTAGGCGTTAGGCGTTGTGTTTCCTGTCTGTTTTCTGTCTGTTTGTCTGTCTGTTTCCTGTCTGTTTGTGCAGCGCTACGTGTGGTGGATCTCGTGGAACATGAGCTCTTGAGGGATGGCCGTCTCGGCTCCGTGCAGCTTGGAGGTGCGACGAATGAACGCAGAAACCATCTGCTTCACCACCTCGTCGAAGAACACGTGAGCCAGCTGGGAGTGGAGGAGGGAGCGAAACTCGAAGGAGATCTGAGGACAGAGGAAAGGAGCCGAGTTTAATTCTCTATAAACACGTCTTATAATGCTTATTTTTTTAACAATATTTGTATTGAAGTTTTCAAATATAACAAACATTACACACACATAAAACGGTCAGTCCAGGTGGCAGATACAGTGCACAATCAAATGAATAGGCATGTAAATAAACACAGGTCAGTATACAGATGATACAGGGATAACAAAGTACAGAAATCTGAAAGAATATGACGTGGGCTACTACACTTTATAATCTTATTCCCTCCCCGCCCCGGTCTTTGGTTTTATTGATGATTATTTTTCAAAAACTCCATGAAGCACCCCCAGATATTTTCAAAAACTGCCAGCTTTCCTTTAGTAATGTATGTTAGTTTTTCTAAAGCAACACATGCTGACAGATCCTTAATATATGTATTCATACTTGGTTTGTTTCTTATGATGCTTCTTGGCATTTGAGGTGTTTGTTTACTTGCGTCACTCAAGCTAGAAGCACCGGAGAGGAGGCGGGGCTTACAGTATCTCCATGTAGACGTTTAGATACCAACAATGTTTTATAAGTCATGGCAGAAATAACCACTTTTGCTTCTTTGTGCAAGTTGTGAGAGTCCCAGAGACGTTGAGACACCAAACTGTGTCGTGTTTGGGTTCATAACATCATCTGGAGACACACAGCGCAGTGAGAGCTGTAGATACTGTCTCTAGCTACTCACAAGTCTTCTGAATTAATCTGGTAACTCCAGTGGTATGAAGCCAAAAATAACATGTTTTACTACTCACAGAGAAATCCACCGTGCAGGTACGAGGGTATCCTGGGAGTCCAGGGCTGAAACGCCACACCGTCTCCAGGTGGTTGAACAGTTTCCCATCAGAACAGGCCGCCTGCCAACAAACGCAATATACTTGTTAATGCAATGAGTTTGCTGCAAATAACTAGTATTTAAGGTTGAATTTGGTGGGAATTGTGTATAAAATGAAGTACACATGCATCATATTACCATTTTGAGGACTGTTACTTTATACTGTATGTTTTTTCAAATATTAGGGGTGGATTTCCTGGACTTTCTCACTGAGCATCATGCTTTATTTAATGAAAAGTAGCAGGACCATGGCTTTAGAAAATAACCTCCACTTAAATGTATGCAAGTTTCATAAGCGAAAGTAATTCAGATGCTCATGAGCAATGCCTCGAAACCATGGTCAATTAAAACATCAAGGTTTTTCTCTACCATGCAAACCAAGAGAGTGGATTTCGGAAAGTATGCATTTAGTGATATAGGCCTGTGATGCAGTACCTCACCTTGACCAGGTGGGGGCGTACTGAAGTGACCAGAGAGGTGTAGTTCTCCATCACAGGTGGAAAGCCCACGGCTACTTTAGCCTTGCAGAACCCGGCGCGCTTGAACACGACATCGGACTTCTTGCACCAGGGAACAAACAGGCGGTAGTTCTCCACCCCGTTCACCACGTCATAGATCTCCTGCATGGAAAACCTGGGGGGTGAGGGAGGACATTAGTCATAAGCTGTGTGTGTGTGTGTGTGTGTGAGACAGGAAGCAGGAGAAGGTCAGGACATACTACCGAAATTAGGTAGATAAGTCGGTAGGAGAGAAAGAGAGAGAGTGTGTGTGTGTGTGTGTGTGTGTGTGTGTGTGTGTGTGTGTGTGTGTGTGTACATACTTAAGTAAGTCATTAAGTAAGTCCTTTAGTAAGTCAGTAGGTACTTTAGTGAGTTGGTAAAGAAGTAAGAAAGCACATACCGAAATTAGGTAGATGAGTGCGAGTGTGTGTGTGTGTGTGTGTGTGTGTGTGTGTGTGTGTGTGTGGGCAGGACAGGAAGCAGGTGAAGGTCAGCGACTGTGAAGTAACAATAAACACTAAACAAGGCTGGCATGCAACAAGATGAATGACTCCTTTAAGTAGGTCGATCAGGAACAGAGATAGAGGGGAAGAGAAGAAAGGGACACAGTGCAAGAGAGGAGATTTAAAGGTCTCCTATTATACTGTTTTTCATCAATATATTATGGTCTCAGATATATACAGAACATGTCTCTGAGGTGTTTGTCTCCAAACACCAAACAGATCATTGCAGCATCCCATAATCCCCTCTGTTTCAAAAGTGCTGATTCTCTGTCTGTTACTTTAGATCAGTGGTCACCAACCTTTTTAAGCCCAAGATCCCCGACCTTGGTGAAAGGCGAGATCTACCTATTGTAGAATTGAGTGAAAAAGACGGCCCAGACAGTGCTTCCAATTTGAGGCCTTGTATGTCGGCTAACTGCATCTGAATTACATCAAATCATTTTGTGCAACTTCCAATTTGATTAAACCAACACAACATAACTAACATGTCAAAAAGGATACATATACATATATTTACATCATACCTATTATTTTGAGTTTCATTAATTCCAATCCTAAATATAAATGTACGTAGCTTATTTTCCATTTGTTTGTGTGAATGAGTATATTATTTTGTTGACAGCAACAACAAATAAAAAAACATCATCTTGCAGTGAGCAGATAACATAAAGTGCCATTTTAACTGTGAGGCGTATCCACTGAAGCTTCATGCAAGTGCAACATTTAACATTAACATTAAAACTAGTTATTTTTAACACAATTCTTACAAATTCTAAATTCTAACAACATTCTTTATCCGTGCATAGACCATTGGTGCGTTCACACCGGACGCGATGCGAAAGACGCGTTCGCGCGGTAGCCAATCAGCAGTGAGGATCTCAGCCTGCCGTCACTGACGTTGAATCAGAAAATCAAAACATCAGCCGTTAGCTGTTAGCACACAGAGCTCACAGCTCCTCATATATCTGTTCAGAAACTGGACAAAAGTTAAACAAGTACAAACCACAGACTGTCTGTGTCATGGCGAATACAGTCGCTGCTTTATTTATGTCTTTAGGCCGTTGTTGTGAGTTTTGGACGGAGCAGCTACAACGTTAGCTTAGCCTGATCGATCCGATCTCCATTCAGAAAACACGCATTTTAAAAGGTGTTTCGCCTGCCGTCTGTCTGCACACTTGTCAAAGCATTAATTCATGGTTTTTACTAACCGGTATCAGTATGTAGTTATTCCGGCATCATTTTGAAACGTGTATTACAATTAAATCACGGTCAAATATGCAGCATCACTTGAAGTCAGTCTATTATTTTCGGGAGCGACAGGGAATGTCTCAAAGATACGTCAATCAAGTGGCACCTGCTAACGGGGTGGTGGATGATAGGCTTACATCTAAACATTTTTGCAACGGTGCGCGATCTACCCGCACCGCGATCGACTGGTTGGTGACCACTGCTTTTTTCGAGGACAGACATTTGGACACCTCAATGGAACTTTACAAAAAGTGTGCAACTCATTACTTAAAGGTCCCCTATTATACTGTTTTTCATCAACAGGTCTCAGATATATACAAAACATGTCTCTGATTGGCTGAAACACCAAACAGATCATTGCAGCATTACCCATAATCCCCTCTGTTTCAGCCCTGTTTCCAAAGTGCTGATTCTCTGTCTGTTACTTTAGATGAAAATAAGGAGCCCCTCCCCACGCCCCTCTGAGAGAGATTTGGTTACAAAGAACACAATGGTGCTCTAGGAGGAGATTCAGGTGATAAGGTGGGGGGGGACACAGGGACACATTTTTATCTCATTTCAGACAGGTTTTTATATAAATAGATCAGGACAAAAAGAGAGAATCTTTGTTCCTGAAACTTCCAGAATCTCTTTACACAGAGGGGACACATGTTGATGTAGAAGAGACATGAAGAAGAGGGGACACATGTTGATGTAGAAGAGACATGAAGAAGAGGGGACACATGTTGATGTAGAAGAGACATGAAGAAGAGGGGACACATGTTGATGTAGAAGAGACATGAAGAAGAGGGGACACATGTTGATGTAGAAGAGACATGAAGAAGAGGGGACACATGTTGATGTAGAAGAGACATGAAGAAGAGGGGACACATGTTGATGTAGAGAGACATGAAGAAGAGGGGACACATGTTGATGTAGAAGAGACATGAAGAAGAGGGGACACGTGTTGATGTAGAGGAGACATGAAGAAGAGGGGACACATGTTGATGTAGAAGAGACATGAAGAAGAGGGGACACGTGTTGATGTAGAAGAGACATGAAGAAGAGGGGACACATGTTGATGAAGAAGAGACATGAAGAGAGGGACACATGTTGATGTAGAAGAGACATGAAGAAGAGGGGACACATGTTGATGTAGAAGAGACATGAAGAAGAGGGGACACATGTTGATGTAGAAGAGACATGAAGAAGAGGGGACACATGTTGATGTAGAAGAGACATGAAGAAGAGGGGACACGTGTTGATGTAGAGGAGACATGAAGAAGAGGGGACACATGTTGATGAAGAAGAGACATGAAGAAGAGGGGACACATGTTGATGTAGAAGAGACATGAAGAAGAGGGGACACATGTTGATGTAGAAGAGACATGAAGAAGAGGGGACACATGTTGATGTAGAAGAGACATGAAGAAGTGGATTTTGCATAATAGGTGACACAGATGGAGTCATCACACAGCTGAGGGAAATATCTGCAGTGGCCTGAGCTATTTATACAAGCAGACTTATCTTTAAACTCTTTATCTCAATGGAACACTTTGTGCGTCATACAGGAATGCATACGTAGAGAGATAAGGCATTTAAACAATCATTCATACATTAGTGATTTTTGTAAAGGGTTATGATAGGGACACAGCTTTTTTTAAACCATATACCTCTACAGAGATGTAATTGAAAAAACGTTTTAATACACATCTGTGGTCCTTACAGGTAACTGTTTACTTGTTGGTGTATAGTTTGTATTTGCACCTCACAGGTAACCAGTTTATATTTAGGACTTACTGTTAACTTGTTTACATGTCTGGCATTGTTTACAATATTTTATCAACATTTGTATTTTTGATACTATAATGTGCTGTTTGTTGCTTTCTGTAAAGTGTATCAGGACTATGATTGTTCTGTATTATTAGCCTAACAAGGACATTTCAAGCTCAAATAAACCTTGTGTTCGTATTCGTGGTTTTAACTTGTGCAATAATGATCGCGATACACTTCAATCGTTTTTTTAATTAGATTGAAAGAGAGTATTAAGAGAAAATCACAATTTAAAATGTATTTCTATATTTTTTAATTGCTCTGGTTTTCAGCCATATTTCAGTTAGTGCTTTTTATATTGTCTTTCACAATAAAGATGTACTTTCCTACTCTTGATAATTGCTCTAATGCAGAGGTGGGAAGTAGTGGAGTACAAATACTTCGTTACTGTACTAAAGTACATTTCTCTGGTATCAGTACTTTACTCCACTACTTATTTTTGTGACCACTTTTTACTTTGACTTCTTACATTTTGAACACAAATACCTGTACTTTCTACTTCTTACATTTTGAACCCAAATACCTGTACTTTCTACTTCTTACATTTTGAACACAAATACCTGTACTTTCTACTTCTTACATGTTGAACACAAATACCTGTACTTTCTACTTCTTACATTTTGAACCCAAATACCTGTACTTTCTACTTCTTACATGTTGAACAAGAATACCTGTACTTTCTACTTCTTACACTTTGAACCCAAATACCTGTACTTTCTACTTCTTACATGTTGAACAAGAATACCTGTACTTTCTACTTCTTACACTTTGAACCCAAATACCTGTACTTTCTACTTCTTACATGTTGAACCCAAATACCTGTACTTTCTACTTCTTACATTTTGAACCCAAATACCTGTACTTTCTACTTCTTACATTTTGAACACAAATACCTGTACTTTCTACTTCTTACATGTTGAACACAAATACCTGTACTTTCTACTTCTTACATGTTGAACACAAATACCTGAACTTTCTACTTCTTACATTTTGAACACAAATACCTGTACTTTCTACTTCTTACATGTTGAACACAAATACCTGTACTTTCTACTTCTTACATGTTGAACACAAATACCTGAACTTTCTACTTCTTACATTTTGAACACAAATACCTGTACTTTCTACTTCTTACATGTTGAACACAAATACCTGTACTTTCTACTTCTTACATGTTGAACCCAAATACCTGTACTTTCTACTTCTCACATGTTGAACCCAAATACCTGTACTTTCTACTTCTTACATGTTGAACCCAAATACCTGTACTTTCTACTTCTTACATTTTGAACACAAATACCTGTACTTTCTACTTCTTACATTTTGAACACAAATACCTGTACTTTCTACTTCTTGCATTTTGAACCCAAATACCTGTACTTTCTACTTCTTACACTTTGAACCCAAATACCTGTACTTTCTACTTCTTACATTTTGAACCCAAATACCTGTACTTTCTACTTCTTACACTTTGAACCCAAATACCTGTACTTTCTACTTCTTACACTTTGAACCCAAATACCTGTACTTTCTACTTCTTACATGTTGAACCCAAATACCTGTACTTTCTACTTCTTACATGTTGAACCCCAAATACCTGTACTTTCTACTTCTTACATTTTGAACACAAATACCTGTACTTTCTACTTCTTACATTTTGAACACAAATACCTGTACTTTCTACTTCTTACACTTTGAACCCAAATACCTGTACTTTCTACTTCTTACATTTTGAACCCAAATACCTGTACTTTCTACTTCTTACACTTTGAACCCAAATACCTGAACTTTCTACTTCTTACATTTGAACCCAAATACCTGTACTTTCTACTTCTTACACTTTGAACCCAAATACCTGTACTTTCTACTTCTTACATGTTGAACCCAAATACCTGTACTTTCTACTTCTTACATGTTGAACCCAAATACCTGTACTTTCTACTTCTTACATGTTGAACCCAAATACCTGTACTTTCTACTTCTTACATTTTGAACCCAAATACCTGTACTTTCTACTTCTTACACTTTGAACCCAAATACCTGAACTTTCTACTTCTTACATTTTGAACCCAAATACCTGTACTTTCTACTTCTTACACTTTGAACCCAAATACCTGTACTTTCTACTTCTTACATGTTGAACCCAAATACCTGTACTTTCTACTTCTCACATGTTGAACACAAATACCTGTACTTTCTACTTCTTACATTTTCCAAACAGGCTGGTTCCTTTAGTTTGAATGTGTGTTTGGTGGCGTGATCATTATTCTTTAGAGTCATTGCGTGCCTATTGATTTGAACACGATCCGTGTATCCATCATTTCCTGGTCTTCTCTAAAGAAGAGGGACCAATGAAAACGTTGTCATGTTGCCGTTGTTCAGCATGGAAACATTCATTAGCTAACAATGACATTATTGTTCTATTAATAAAAAGGGAGGTCAGGTACTCTTTAAAACAGATGGTAGTTATGGGTACTTTTTACTGAAGTACATTTCAAAGTCCTCTTTACTTTCACTTGAGTAAAGAAGTTTAGTCAGTACTTCTACTTTCACCAGAGTATTTTTAAACACGAGTATCTGTACTTCTACTTGAGTAAAGGATGTGTGTACTTTTGCCATCTCTGCTCTAATGTAGCAGCTGTATGCTAATGCGAAACCCAATAAACAGAAACACTTTTTTTTTTTTTTAAATGTAATTTTCCTGCATCACATGACCATGGACTCACCCGATGACGCGTCTCTCGGAGTACTCCTTCCTCTTGGAGAAGGTGTCGGCCAGGTTGAAGAAGCTGCGGACGGGTAATGTGACGACGGGCCCCAACATGGCCGCACCGGGACGGGGGGGCACGTGAGTGTTCAGGACCCCACATGACGACAGGTATCTGAGCACAAAACACACAATAGTCACACAAACTGGGGAAAAATACCACTAACGACAGAGGACATGAACTATGTTTTGTTAATACAAATATCGGGCAATTTTCTTGTTCTTTTAGTTCCTTTTTTAAAATTGCAATTAACTTGTATTTTATTGTTCTCACTTTTTCTGGTTTTTATTGTGTTTTAAATGCAAATCTTAATGCCTTGTGTTTGATATAATTAATATGTTTCAATGCCCTTAATTTAAAGCACTTGTAATCTCCTTGTGTCTGAATAGTGCTCTATAAATAATCTTGCCTTGTTGTTTTCTGTATTTTCTAGCCTCAGACATAAACCTGAAACCCTTTTCTTTGTGACGGTACACTCATTAATAAAGCCTGGTGTTAATTACCCTAGAACACCTGTAAATCAATATGAGAGCAACAAGCTGCCACTCACACTCCTTGGATATTTTCCATAGAAAACCTTCTCGCAACACCTGCTGAACATTTACTGTGACACATTCAATCAAAATCAAATGAGGTGTACAAGTGCACTAACCCTGCCCGTCTACTTTTAAAATATACAGTACATATTTTCTGTTTTGCCTGGGGGAGTAGAGACATGATTAGGCAACACATGGCTCCAACTTTTTAATATCAAGTGCCACAAATGTGTTGGTTTATCAGTTTGTCTGTGGATGGAAATATATTTTTCCTACATCTTTTTCAGGCATGTATTAAGAAGACAATCCAAGCATTTTCTGGGTCAAGTTTCTAAAATACGGACGAGGGTTAGGGGCCTAAGATGTGTTTTTTTTAATCCAACCAAAAGTGGATTAAAGTCAGAATTCTGAGAAAATAATTGTACATATTTTTTCCGAAAATCTCAGTTTATTTAGTTTTTCCCCAAAAAAATCTTTGCAATTTCTACCGTAGTTGACTATGAATCCTCTTATATCATATGTGTATCTTTTTCATTTCTGTATATAATGTGAAAAATGTATTAAAAATCTTAATGACTGAAAAAAGAAAATCCACATCAATCATCAGGATCATAAAATGTCCCAATTTGATCCCTTTCTTTCCACCGTGCTGTGTTGTGATTATATGGATCAGTGGGATCATGTTCTCTAACCCTAAAGTCCTCAGAGACTCCATGAATGCGAGGACTTTTAATCCTGGATGGCTCGTAACTTCAATATGACCATCAAACTCAGCTCAGAGACACACACTTTGAGGTCTCCCTGTTCCACAATGTCCCTGGCATAGACACCCAGGGCATGTGTTTGTCACGCAGCTCTTATGTCACCACTTAATGTCATCTTAATATCATCATCAGCTTAACCTATTCTGTGCTTCTCGTGACGCACTGCTTGGGATTCCTGCTCCATTATTGGCCTGCTGGGCACTACTACCTGAAATGTGATACATCAGACACATGGGCAGCGACCTCAGACTGACAAGACCATGCAAGTGTATAGATAGACAGACAGATAGACAAATAGATAGACAGACAGATAGATAGATAGATAGATAGATAGACAGACAGACAGACAGACAGACAGACAGACAGACAGATAGATAGATAGATAGATAGATAGATAGATAGATAGATAGATAGATAGATAGATAGATAGATAGATAGATAGATAGATAGATAGATAGATAGATAGATAGATAGATAGATAGATAGATAGATAGATAGATAGCTAGGCAATAAGAGAAAGTAAGACACTAGAAATAAACAATCCAAAATATTTCTGAAGTAGAAATAAAATAGCATTAAAAAGTAAAAAAATATACAGGTGGAAATATACATGAAATACAAATGACCAGTAACAAAATATAAGAGACGGGCTATAAGAAAAATTGCTCAGGCGTGCATGAAGCCATATTGAAACCAAATGACTTGAATTGTTGCTGGAAGGTTTACCTAAATCTGATTATTAACAGACGTCTCTTTCCTGATGTTAGTCATAAGCAACATGTCTCTTTGGCCACATGGCACCACAGACTGACACGGAAGATGCGTGTCCACTGTTTGGCCACTACCGAAAGTGGTTTCAGAGCCTGGTGCTCTTCCTGGGGGCTTTGTGCAGGGGGCTTATCTTAAACTAACACTTGTCAGCTGGCATAAAACACTTGTTCCGGTGCAGGGTTTTAAGCCCCAGACAGAAAATGTGTGTCCAGAGATATTGCAAAACTCAGTGCAGTTGCAACAGCTGTCACAGGTTCTAAAAATCCTGACATATATAGCTACCACTTTGTCTTTCTTGGAAGAAGGGTCAGGCTGAAGTAGTAAGAAATGCTTCCATAAATACCTAGAGCTCAGAACCAAATGCAGAATGGCCCATTTTAAAATAATATAGATGTATATCACAGGATCATAATTGATGTGCATTACTTTTATTGAATTTAAGCAATTGTTGGTATATTGATCTTGTGTTTTATATAAAATTGTGATTTTTAGAATACCTTATTTGCTTGCTAGCTTATGAATTTTATTTTAATCTATGACAATAATTCATAATTTATTTTGGTCATATTATTTATAAGAATATAAAAGTAACTAAAACCAACAAATAAATGTTGTGGATTGAAGTAGAAGGAGCCATAACCAGAGTGTAGGAATACTCTGTTACAGTAAAAGTCCTGCATTCAAAATGTTACTCAAGTAAAAGTAGAAAAGTATTATCATCAACATATACTTAAAGTAGCAAAAGTAAAAGTACTCATTATGCAGATTGGTCAATTTCAGAATAATATATATTTAAGCAATAGCTCACGACAGGCCGCGGTTAGGGTCATTATATCACAGCTAAGTCGCGTCGGGCCGACAACTATCACGGCCTGAAGTGAGCTATTGCTTTTATAAAACGGTTACCTAGTGTGGCAATATGAAAGAAAAATACACAGTCCAATTTAAATAGTTGTTATTAGTAAATAATGATGTTAAAAATAAAATAGTCCCTCCGTTGCCTTCTGCACAAAACATAGTGCGAGGTGGTTGCTATGCAACACAGCGTCGCGTTGAAGCTTTCCGGTGGGCATGTCTGGTGCGTGACCAACAACCAATCACATGAATCTCCCGCCCCGGACACACAAGCAAGCGGTTTGATTGGCTAGCGCTTGTACTGGCATATGATTCGATTGGCTGACGCTTCCGTCGAAGCTTGAAAAGTTGAACTTTTCTTAACTTTCTAAGCGAGCAACGGAGGCAAAGCGAAGCGACGGAACCACAATGCAGTTCGGTAAAGCCTGACGTCACCATTCAAAGAGAATAGAGAGGCGAAGTCCCTCCCCTTCCGGTGGACCTCCATGGGACCTTATTTCAGAAAAATTATGTATTGAAGTCAATGGAGAGAGAAAGATTATCTTTCGATCCCGTTTGAATTGTGCCACGAATTACACATATGATGTTTGTCAATTTAAAAGATAATTTTGCAAGTCAAAAAAATAAAAATGTGTCGTAAAACTGTGAAGTAACACTTTGTGTGAAACGCTCAATGAACTACATCTCTGGTCTCGCACACGTCACCAACACCAAGATGGCCGTCACGTTAGCACATTTCACCTCTTTCTTTCAGAATGAGGCGAAAAGTATTAAAAGAGGTGAAAATCACTACAAGTCTGCTCAATCCACTCCTCCATAGAGAGGTGAAGTCCCCTCCCCTTCCGGTGGGACCCATGGGACCTTATTTCGGAAAAAGTTTGTATTGAAGTCAATGGAGAGAGAAAGATTATCTTTCGATCCCGTTTGAATTGTGCCACGAATTACACATATGATGTTTGTCAATCTTAAATAATAATTTCCATGTCAAAAAAGTCACAGTTTGTCGTAAAACTGTTGAAATATAAGACTATGAAAAATACGCAACTAGAAAGACTACAAATCCCAGAATCCCGGTCCCGCATGCTGGCTCTTATGGAACCGACTAACTCCCCTTGTGTGTATGTACAGCTCTCAACATGCCCAGACTTGGAGTGATTTTCACCTATTTTAATACTTTTCGCCTCATTCGGAAAGAAATAAGTTAAATGTGCCAACGTGACGGCCGTCTTGGTGTGTGGTGCGAGACGGGAGATGTAGTTCATTGAGCGGTTTCACACAAAAAAAGTATTACTTCACAGTTTTACGACACATTTTTATTTTTTTGACTTGTAAAATTATCTTTTAAATTGACAAACATCATATGTGTAATTCGTGGCACAATTCAAACGGGATCGAAAGATAATCTTTCTCTCTCCATTGACTTCAATGCATAATCTTTCCGAAATAAGGTCCCATTACCCGGAAGTAAGTGGGCGTGACTTCGCCACTCTATAGTACCCCGGAGGTCGAAGTTAACCTTTCCATCTTAAGCTTTGTTAGACGCAGAGGGATACTGACTTGTGAAAAGTAACTACAATTCTACCCGTGTATTACGCTCATTATATCAGATTGCTTGATTTGATTTATCCGTTTTATAAGATATGTTTTATAATGATTGATCATTAAAGTGTTATCAAAGCTGGTAAAAGTGCAGCTAGTTTTAATGACTTTGTATACTGCAGGGTAGCTTGTGAATTTACTCAAGTCTGATTTAACACTTGATTATATTTCACATCATTCATCCAGATCTGTAAAGTAACTAACGATATGAATGTAGTGGAGTAAAAGTACACCATTTACCTCTGAACTGTAGTGGAGTAGAAGTACACAGTAGCACAACATTGAAATACTCAAGTTAAGTACAAGAACCTCAAAATTGCATTTAAGTACTTGGGTAAATCTACTTAGTTACTTAACACCACTGATATAACTCGTTCCCAGCTGGATATCTTTGGTGTTGTGGCTAACTTTTTGTTTTTCTACGAGGTGTGTCCTCATTTGACACTTCCCAGTTTTAAACCCAGATTAAATATATAAAATACTTTACCTTACGCTGTTCCTTAAGTGAGTTTCCCTGCTGGCAGTAGAAGGAAAGTGTCTGATGCACTCCGCTACTTTCCTCAGGCTCCGACCACCTTTCGCCATCTTCCCTTTTTTTCGCTTTGACGGACTTCTTCACTCACTTTCTGCCATTGGCAAAATTGACATTTGTCCCGCCCCCCTCTACGAATGTCGGCCTACCATTGGTTGACGTGTACCACACTGATAGATTTCATTGGCCAGTCCCATGCCTCGTCAACTGACATTGGTGACGTCTGCACTTCACGAAAGAATGTCACGAGTGTGTAACATGAGTCACCGAGTTCAGTGCACTCTCTGAGGGTTATACACACACACACACACACACACACACACACACACACACACACACACACACACGCGCGCACACACATTATAATGGGTACATTAAGGAATTCATAAAGAAATGAAACAAATTGCATTAGTGTGCAATTTCATTGGGAAATAAACACAGTTGCACAGTGGATGATTGTATTTACATTTTTGTTTTCTTTTCCCTTTATTTGGCCTCTTGGTGTGACGTAGAGAAAAAACCCTAAAACAAGGTGTAAATGATAGCTAATAAAATGACGGCAAAAGTTTTTAAGGATTTGTAAAGTAACTAATCAAATAGAAACGCAAATAGAGATGAATGTCATCTTAAGTGAATCAAAACAAGTTTTAAATAATGTTGTAATGTAAAGTGAGATATATTCCATCTGTCACATACTTATGTATATATAATACCTTGCTTTATATCTTGTGTCGTAGCAGCTTTAAAATCAGCTGTGGTCTAGAGAGAAAGCACTAAAGATCTTTATACTTGCAAGCATGACGTCTCCTCCAAAGAGCACGTACTGTTCGTACAGGCTCTCTTTAGAGGACATCAAAGCAGATTTAGATTACAACAACATTCTGGGAGGCCAGCTGATACCCCCTCTGGCACTGTATGCAAAACCATCACACCCTACAAGACATTATTAGGAGGCGCGTTCACACCAGAGTACTTTTCCCGTTTAGTTCCGTTAGTACCCCTTATTTTGGCGTTCACACCACAAAAGAGTACTTAGTGCCGGGAACTTTTACCCCCATTTTTAGTGCCTGCTAGAGAGGTGGTGGGCAGTTTCTTCCCATAGGCGGACTATGCAGATGCATAGGGCCCCCGCGGCCACTAGGGGGCCCCCAAGCTGAAAGTAATTATTTTTTTATTTTTTTATTCATCCAAAAAACAAAAAAAGTATAATTCATACACACAAAGATGAACAAAATTAGTAGAAGCGGGAGGGCTGAAGCATAGCTTATGGAAAGTAGCCCTCCCGTGCATCATCCTAATACAACATCGGCATTATTGCGTCAAAAACGTATAGAAATGAAGGAGTACAAAGAAATAAAGAAAACAGGAGAAAAAATTAAATAAAAGTTAGGGCAGGAAAACAATAAATGCATATATATATATATATATATATATACGAAAACTAGATATAGGGTCATTTTCTGCACATGCCAATAGCAGTTTCAACTATCTTTTTTTGGAAATGAAAATACTATATATAAATATATACATATGTACACATGTACTTGGCAAATGAATAATAATAATAATATATGCATATAATAATATATGCATAATTGCATATAAACACTTTTTTACATTCATATGTTCACGCTGTGGTTTGGAACTGCTTTTGAATGTTATTAGGCATTTTGTTATGGAAAATGTTGTGCATAATCAGTACTGTTTTAAGCTGTACTATGTCAACACATTTTAATAGATTGAGTTTTTTTAAATATGGGAGTTGTGTGTTCATATTTACCAACACCACAGACTATTCGTAATACTTTTTTTTGGGATGTTATTCTTTTTTGTAGATTTGTTGAGTACGTGTTTCCCCCTATTTCGGAGCAGTAGTAAAGGTAAGGGAGAAATAGACTGTTATAAAGAGTATTTTTTCTTCAAGAATGTTCTTAGTATGATACAAAATACCTATTGTTTTTGACAGTTTAGTCTGTACATAATTTATATGGTGATTCCAATTGAGTTTTTTGTCAACAACCAGTCCTAAAAATGTACATGCACCAACTTTTTCTATCTCGGTATTGCAAATCCGTATAATGCAGTCATTTCACTTTGTATTGAATAACATGTAATTTGTTTTGGGCCACATTAAGGGATAATTTATTAACTGCAAACCAGTTACATAGTATTTCTAATTCTGCATTCACAATTTTAACAAGATCGCCAAGATTATGATGGGAGCAGAGAATTCAAAGTTCAGGTTCAGCCTCAATATATTTGGGGAGAATTAAAATGAGCCTTCTTTATTTGTAGACAGCCAAGCCCCCTCCTGTGTTCGGTGAAGCATTATATGCTTAAAAATCCAATGTAGGATATAAACACGACTAAACTGCAATGATAGCAAAGCTGTGGCTTGTGTTTTTGGGGTAATAAAGTTCAAATCATCGTTGGGCTGTCACCCAATGAGTGACGTCTGAGGAAGATGAAAAATGTAAATTAAACATTGTTGAGAAAATGCTGCATCTCATTAATTGTTTGTCCTAAACATAGCAATATATGCTTTTGAAATTTAACATGTATTTGAAAAAATAACAGTATCCAGTTTATATTGTGTATCACCTTTAGCTTGAAAATACATAGAAGCGTTTTTTTATCTATAAAATAAATAAATAGACAGACAGACACTTTATCAATCCCAAATTGGGAAATTATTTAACAGCAGCAGTGTGTTCAGGTATTAAAATATTTAAAGTTGGAATAAAGTATAAACTACACAACACAAGTCTAATGCACAGCAATCCATAAGAGAAGTCGGATATTTCCATGAAAACTCCCCAGGAGGCACCAACACAAACGTGGCCGAGTGGCCTCTGGAGTTTGCTGCATGAGTTGTATGATCTGTGGTGTAATGGGCTGTCACTCAAAACTGAGTAGCCAATGGGGACGCACCCCTGAAAGTCCCGCCTACCTGGGACGTTTGTGTCAAAATTGAAAACAAAAAATGAGGGAGCGCAAACGAGAAGAGCTGCAGCGAGAGCAAAAGTCTGATCATTGAGAAAGAAGCAAAGAGAACTGCAAACAAAAAGATATGTTTAAACAAATAAAAAATACTTATAGTTTACATGATTACACAAATGATTTGTTTGCAACTTATAGTTTTATTTTTTTAATTAAATGTATTTTACTTCAGGGGTTCCCAACCCCCGGTCCGCGGACCGGTACCGGGCCGCGGAGGTGTTACTGCCGGGCCGCGAAATAGCTGTGAGTTTATCGTAATATTTGCAGAATTATAAATATATAAAAATATTTTATCATAATATTTTTTCAAAAAGTGTTAATTTTCGCACCTATGCCACCAGTCATATTATTTCATCCAGTAGCTAGTTAATCTTTCACCAGAAAACCGTTGAAAATGGCTTTTATGATGTTCCGAGGGATTCGGCGGCTCAGCCTAAGGTCTCAGCCTCTTGTGCGCACGAGCATGTTACCGGTGCGCCAAGTAGGAAGAGGAGCGCACAGGAGACAACCGTTTGATATTGCAGACTGTTATGTTTATGTGGGGAAATGGTGGTTGCATACATTATTTGAGATATATTTCAAACTCGGACTTCATTTTAAGGACATGTCGGCCAGGGGTGTAGAGCTATTTGTTTAAGCACTGGATTGGCAAAACAGGAGAGTAAACCAGTATGCCTTGATCTATGAATTAATGTCCGGGACTCTCACGATCTGCTGCCCGCAGCTGTTTTATAGAAGGAAACCCTCCTTCATGAAATGGCTGCAGCATCAGGAGGCAGCGGGACGTAGCCTATACTCGGTAAAGAGCTGTGCCTTTTTACGCACCGCCTTCGCTGTGTTTAACTTAATCAGAACAGTTTAAGAGTGACTGCAGGCTGCTACGTGTTAACCAGCACACACATCTACACACATCGAACTGCCCGATTACTCCCCCTTTTATTAGTTTTATGAAGGAGATGTCCAGTCAGTCACCAAGGCGCATGATGTGTGTGTGTATGTGCTCTGCTCAGCTCAGCTCTGTGTGTTCGGTGTGTTTGTGTCTGTCCGACACCGGCATATATTGCCGGCTGTTCCCAAAAATAAATTAGTTTAATCTTAATCTCCGATGCTAAATGCTGTCGGGAGTGCACCGGAAATGAACGACATTTTCCCAGCATTCACTGGATTATCCGTAAATCATACAAACAAAACCAAAACGTTGATTTATCTGTTTTCCCGTTTTGGTTAAAAACTGAATAACGTCGGTTTTTTGGTGTTTTCCGAAAAACCAAAAAACAACACCGGTTCTTTTTTAAACTTTGTTAATATGTTTTGGATGCATATTGTTCTAAGTATTTGTTCAGGGCTGTTACCATACAATTAGCCTCTGTTGCTACCTGCTGGTGGTGAGTAAATATTAAAATCAGTTAAAATTGACAACCGGTCCGCGATTTTTTTTTAATGTATCTACCGGTCCTTGGCACAATAAAGGTTGGGAACCCCTGTTTTACTTGACTCAGTTTTTTTTCTCTTAAACTCTTAGTTTTGCTTGATTCTGAGAAAGTGTTGCTTTATCTTTATGAAACAAAACTAATCCCATAGGGCAGGGGCAGCAGCAGAACTCAAGCTACCAGGCTGCTACAGATCTGGCTTTCTTGGAAAAGTACACCCTCACTCCGCAGCCGGCCAACGTCGTGAGGGCCGATCAGATGCTGGACCCCCGGGAGCAGTCCTACCTCGGCACCCTGCTGGGACTGGACTCTGCTTCCTCTGTGCAGAACATCTCCAACTCTGATCACTCACACTGACAGACTAAAACTGGACCTTTAACGCACACATTTTAATTGAATAAGAACTGAAGCTACAGTATTCACTAGTGATGGGCAAATGAAGCTTTTTGTGAAGCATCGAACCACTTAACCACTTAAAGTGGACCTATCATGCTATATTTGAATAATATAGTGTAGGACCATACCTATATAAGGCATATTTATACTTTTTTTTTTTCAAAATACCAAACATCATGCATTTTAGCCATGCCTCATTTCGCTTAATTTGACAATTTATAGCTCTGTTTTTGCAAGGGTTGATTCTGTGAGCAAACAGCAACCATCTAGAGGCCTGGCAGATGTCACTACAGCGTCTCCAGCGCTT